TTAACAATACCCCAGCTGCAATCAAAATCATATTTAAATAAGGATTAGCAGCTTGTTTATCCAAAAGCTGTACCTCAAAGGCTTCTGTTATAACTTGGGTGAAAAGCTTGATGCTTCTCCATAGAAGTAATGTGAAGACAAGTTTTTGATTGACTCAGTAGTGGATTATGCTGTAGGAGCTTATACATACTTGTAAGTCTGTTGGTTCTCTGTTTCTTGAACAAGTCGATTGAGCGTTCTTGTAAATACAAATGCAAACTATATTCCATGTACCCCTTCAGGAAATGCTCTCTGGCAGTAGCCATTACAGCCGTCCTCCCAAGCATTTTTTGCAAACTTTTAATTTCTCCGGGGCTTTCAAATTGCCTGTTTAGGTTCTGCAGAGGCATTGTTCCAGGCATCTATAAAATACCTCTGTGGCTCAATGAAATGACCATATGTAGCTCCATAGCACAGTTCCAACCTAATTGCCCCCTTTCACAAGTGTCAATTTCATTCAGGAGAACACAGGGATGGAGGGCAGGAGAGAGGAGTGAAGAGGAGTGGGGGGGGGGGGGGGGGGGCTAAGGAAAGCTGACATTCATCAAACTTCTCCCGAAAGATGTATAAGAATACTGTCGTGCGGGACTTTGTTCGGCAGATGAACAGCAGCGTTCTCTCTGGATTTCATTTAGCCTTGCTCTTCTTGTTAAAGCGTCGCCTCTCTCCTCAGCACGAGGAGCCTCTGCATCGCAGCCAAGGACCATGACTCTTAATTTTAGCAGCTGAAGAGGTCCAGATCAATAACCATCAGTGTTTGGTTTTGGGCCGCTGCGTCGGTCAAAGTGGGGGATACAGCCCTCCCTTAACCCTCCCTGCCTCTGTTACACCTTATAGAAGGTGTCATTCTGTTTTTGCCCATTATCACAACACACACGTGAACTGTTTGTTAGTGGGCTTTTGTGTGTATGAGCTGTGCACACAGGTTTTTACTGCTATGACTTCTACGATATGCGACAGCTTGTTGCAAGGTAATTCAGCTATTCCTGAGGCAAGACATAACTTTAAAAAACTACATGCAAGTTCAGACGATGCAAAATTGACCGCTGTACGACGCTATAATGGGAATATTTGCCTATACGCTATGTGTAATTTGACAGAATCAAAGTATCAACAAAAGAGAATCACAGTAACTGAAAGAGTATCATAGGGTGTGTTGTAAGACTGCGTCTCTAGGATTAGCAAGTCTGTTTTAAGAACAATAACAACCAGAACATTTGTAGTTGCAGATTCATGTTAAAGTCATGTTTATACTATACTTTAAAAATGATCTTTGGTTGATTACAGACACTGGATTTAATGTTTAATTATGATCTTTTGCCAAGTTGGCCACTCAACTATCTCCAATCATTGTGCGATAATCTTTTCTTCTGGTGTTGTCATTTCAAGAAGAAAAGCTGTTGTTCATCATAGCTCCCTATGAGAGAGACAGCTAAGGTAGAAAAATCTGATTTATTAGCATCAGACTTATTTGTGTATTTCTGCTACCTTTTTCCAGAGCTCACAGAGGTGCAAAGTTTGTCTCTAACACTAAATGTTCTTTGCATCATTTTTGTTCCATTTGGATAATATCCAGTGTACTCTTTGTTAAATTTGCTTTACAAGAGCAATTCCAGTACCGTACAAATGTAAATCTTTCTTTATTTTCCTGTACCAGCACTTGAAAGCACTAGAAACGTTGCCTCTGTTGATCATCTCTTTTACGCAGTGATTCCGTGGAAGACTGGCCTGTTTGCCTAACGCCTGGCTCTGTTTAGAGAGCTTTGGGAAGATCTTTGGAGCCTTCACATTGATTATTTTCTGTGTTTTTTTTTCTATAGAGATGGTTTGGTTTTTTATATATATATATATATATATATATATTGTTTATGTTTTATATCTAGATGTTCTCTGAGCAGATGTTTTCTCCTGTTTTCCTGACAATAAGGTGCATCTGCAGCACTGATTTGTCTCCTGCTGTTGCTCCCTGAGTTATAAGCCTTTTCTGCTCCAGTGCCAATACATGTGCATGTGTTAAAGATGGGCCTCTATTTTGCGGTGAGCCGGCCTCATCCCGAGGTGCTCTCCTGGGGGGCAAAGGTTCACCCCTGCTTTCCCTCTCTCTTTGCTAGGGTCATTTGGAGAGGTAATCCACACATGGCTGGATACTCTCACTACAGCTCCAAACAGAAAGATGGAGCTCCTGCATGGTAAAGAAAGATAGGATTAGGTTCATGCTGAATCGTAATGGGCTCATTTCACAAACCTCTTCTTTTTTTTTTTAACCAATTAAGCTGTACTCGAGTTGGACTTGTACACATTCTTAAATCAGGACTTGTACCCAGCAAACCCAGCCCTTAGATGGCAACATGCACGCCTGGTTGAGCTGCTTTAATCCTGCGTTTTCTTTTTTATTTTGGTCAATGTCAGCCAGAGGTTAACCTGGTTATAGAATGATTGCCTCACCACAGCTGTAGCCGTCGTTATTTATTTCACTCCACTCCACAAGCCCCGGAGATTGAGTTGAAGTACAGAGCCTGTATTTAGACTTTATATAAGAAGATTGGTGGTGGCCACTGACAGACCGCTCCAGTCAGCCCTGTGTTCACCGATGGCCAGTCGGATCAATACAACACAATTGAGTTTTCCAATCTGTGGTCTTTGGGAACGCAGCCACAGCACTTACAGGGTGATCGCATCTGATGAAGTCTTCATCAGGGTCTATTGACAGATTCATTTGAGCACCTTTCTTCCCCCCCTTACTACACTGTAAAGTAATGGGACACGAAAACCCTCTTTAAAAAGTTTTCTTGCAGCTGATGGATGGATCAAACCAACAGAGCTATCTCTCTCTTTGAAATTAACTCCTTTTTTTAAGTTTTATTTTTAGAGTTATATTAAGACTTTGCTTAAGTCATGTGTTTGTTATAGCTTTCACTGGGATGATTTGTTTTTTGTAGTTCTAGTCGCTAAATTTACACTCAGTTACCCTTCATTCATTGAGCCAAAACTGCTAAGCTTTCAGATTTTTACAATAACTAAAATAAAACACCAGATGAAAAAATATTCAGAAAAGAAGCGAGCACGATTTGCTTTTGAAAGCGAGGCCCAAAAGTGACCTGGCGGCTGATAAAGGGACTGTGTAAATTTCCAAATTATTTCATATTTGATATCCAAACAAGCCGCAGGGGTATTGGATATCACACGCTAATGCAAGGCGGTCACATGTGCACTTGGGAAATTGGTTGGACCCTCTCCCCGGCGCTTTTGATGTCCAAGTTGTTTTTTCTCGTCTGGAGTGGAGCTGCTCTTAAGAAAGCCATAATCCTCACAGTATTGCTGTGGCAAGCATTCCTCTGGCACAACATTTCACAACGGCCTGCGTGACTCCACTAATTTTCTGTTGTTTTTTTTACCTGTTTTGTATTTTTGCCCCCCCCCCCCTTGACCCGTCCTCTCTGAATTCTCCAGAAAAAGAGGGACTATTGAAGTCAGGGTGCATTGGCTAAAGGTGGTTTCCTTTGTCCATGAAGAGGGAGATCTGCTGCATCTTAGACTGCAGAAGGACTGGATTTGATAAATTAAAGGAATCAGTTTTTAGATAATATTTTATTAATAATCAATTGATGTTTTTTCCCCCAAATTTATTTATTGATATTTCTTCTTTTTCACAAACAATAACAAATGGCTCAGAAAAAAATTGGTCTGAACACCATCATCAACCCATAGTTTCTTGTTTTTGTTTTTTTCCAAAAGAGAGCTGTGTCCATAGTTAGTCAAGCAAAAATGCTTGCAAGTGTCGAAGCCACAGTAGAGTTTGAGAAACGGAGGTGTAGGGTACATATTTGCATGAATCGTCCTTTTGTAGAGTGAAGTTAACAGGTCAAATATTCAAGAGGAAAACACTCCATGATAATCTTATGCCAGTTTGCCTTTGAGGGTGATTTTTCTTGCTTATCTATGACAGAAAGATATTCTTCCTCACAGCATAAGTGAGGATATCATACAGTCTGCTAGAGCGAGTACAAACAATAGCATCTTGACACGGATGACCCAGGAGTTAAGAGACAGGATTCATACACAAAGTCACACCCAGAATGTTTTCCCCATTAACTTTTTTAATTTCAGAAGGCATAACCTTTTTATCTTTGCAATGTTTTTGGTAAATCATTGCTTATGACCTCTGTAGAACACATTAGGGCTGATTTTTTATGGTCTTGCTTATATCACTTCTTCGCTGTCGCTTTGAAACAAGACAGTACTTTTGCCATTGCAGATCTTTGCTCACGTCCACCATGTCTGTACACCTCTGTTCTTCAGCTAGGGATATCAAACAAGGATAGCCAAAAGTAGATAGTGCCCTCCTCTGGTTAAAAACATTGTATTGCAATATATTTTTTGTCTCATGGATTGAAATTATGCTATCTTGAGGTAGCAAAATGAGTGATCATTGTCTTAAACAGTTGAATTATTTATTTCAGTGTCTCGTAGCTGTTCTCTCCCTCTTCCCATCTCTACTGCCTTCATAGTTCCCTTCTTTTTTTCTCTTCCCTCTTTCTCTGCATCCTGTGACGTTAATTCCTCAGTAATCGGGCCCCCTCGGGCAACAGTGCTGTTTTCACAGACCCTTATACACAGTGCAGGGAAAAGTACATTAAACTCCACAAAGCACTGTTGACCACTCTGGGCCTGCCTTGTTGTGTGAGCAGCAATTTCTGAGGTCAGCGTCTTCACAGGGGAACCCCACGAGGTGTAAAATTGCCCAGTTTTAGTGTTCAAGCTGAAAAGAAGAGAGTTGCTTTCTGTTTTTGAGTATGTGGTGCTTGGTGTTAAAATAGTATAATTTTTAGATATTGATTAACTATTGGAATGCAATTAAATATCTAATAAACTGATGGGGCTGAAGTTAACTACGAGTAAGAAAGTGATCTGATATTGTGCTCATAATGCTTACTGTTGTATGTGTTTTGTTTCCTCCTCAGAATTATCAGATGTTGAACCCAATATTTTCCTGAGGCCCTTCCTAGAAGTGGTCCGCTCTGAAGACACAACTGGACCAATAACAGGCCTTGCCCTTACCTCCGTCAACAAGTTCCTCTCCTATGGCCTTATAGGTGAGAAATCGTCATATGTTTTTTTTTTCTTATATTTTGTAATATTTAAATTGACCTTGAACATGTACTTACTGTTGTATGTGGTAAAAACCAGCACATGAAACTGAACATGACTAAGATTCAGGAACTTGTTGTCTTTTTTTTTGTTTTCTTTATAGTTCAGTCATCTGTCATGGGTTTAATGTCTTTGCAGCACAGAAAAAGGGTGTTGTAAACTATAAACAACGTTAACTAAATAATTCAGATCAGAAATGAGCTTATAATGCATCACAGCGTGGCATCACACTAAGGGGTTTTTATCATATAGCACTACCACACAGTTCTGCCTTTATATCACTGTGAAGGTTAACTGGATTTATTCACAGTATTTAATGGTAAATGGACTTGAGCTTGAGTTTGTCGCATTCTGACAAACAGAAGACTATGAAGTAGCTTCAACACATGCATGAAGACCCCACAGGTTTCTCACCAGTGACAGTGAATTTTCCTGAATATCACTTGCTGTGTTAACACAATACTCAACCTGAGAAACTTTTACGTGGATGCTGTCAGAAAAAAGTCAGAATGAAATTGGTTTGAAAACAAGAAAAAAAAAAAAAAAACAGAGCCCAAACAGCAGCTTCATCATGAAAGACTCAGGACATTGTGATGTGTTAAAATCACAGTCATGTGATGGGAATTCAAACTCTGAGTACTAACTAATTTTACTTTTAGCTTTACTTTTTTCAGCAAGGCTTCTGAATTTCAGCCATAAGCATATGAAGTAATTTTTGGTCTTTTGTCCTTACCTTTGTGTATATTGATGTCAAAATAGTACAGACGAAATCTGGATAACAAGTATGTTATTGCAAAATACAAATATTAGGCCTGGACTGGTGTGTAATGTGTCATGTCCACATATTTTATCCAGATACTGATCACATGTTAGTTTTTGTTCAAAATGGGGGCTCTCTCTTCCGATAGCATATGGCTCATCTTTTCTAACGGCATGCTAAATGTTAGCCACTGCTGCGGCTGATGATCATACAAGTTCAACATTCTGATAAGTGATGCAGAAGCTGACTTGTGTTGACGTACGCACAGGACTGCCTGTCTTCATCAGCCTCATCATGGAAATATGACAGTGTGTCTGCCAGTGTTGTTAAGTCACCAGATGTTGGTCTAAGTAGCAGGAGTTGAGTCAACATAACATTGCTGTCAAAACAGCTGCAGTCATCGCTAAACAACTACAGAAACATTGTAGCCCACTATTAAAAAGTACTGGGTATGTGTTCTTGTTCCCCACCGGGAGACTGGTACTGAAGTTCTCCAGAATATATCTGAAAAGAGGCCTGTTTTCCAGAGCTCACACACACATGAACAAACACTATCTGTTCAACGATCACCAACTAAATCAGCCCCTGACTCCCAGAGCCTCTGTCTGTCACCCTAGACCCAGCACTAGCTCCCTTAATCCCACCACCCTCCCACCCCACACCCCTGACGCCATCTCAACACGACTAGTATCTCATCAACACTCTTCTAAGGGGAGCATCACCGAGGTGATGCAGCTCAGTTGCTCTCACTCTGCACTGACTGTAAAGATGTATAAATCTGACAAAAGTTGGACATCTTTATAAACCCTCCTTTATCGCAGTTTGCCTTTTGTTCCTCAAACAGCGTAAAGTCTCTGCAGCCCGCTTTCACTATCTCCTTCTCTTGTTTTACTAAGCCATGCATCCATTTCTGGTTCTGTGGGTGGGGGTGGGGTCAGGCTGTGAGAATGCAATATTGAATGTGAGTTCAAAGAGTATTGAAACTTGATCTTGGAGAATGTGTCTCCCTGAGGAGACTCAAGACATTTTTCCATGAAGGTGTACAGTGACTGTAAGATTTAGATTTTCAAGTTGAGGTGTACTCTCCCCTGCAGTAATTGCATCAGTCGTCAAGTCAATTGTAAAACTACAGAATATAGATTTCCATGAGTTATTAAGTAGATAAGACGATAACAATTTTGACATGTCCTGTGAGTTTTAATTGAAGAGACAACAGTGGTTTAAAATTATATCCTTGCTGAATATCAAACACTTAACCGGCTTTTTTTAATGAATAAATCTGAAGGTGAGGCAGACATCATATGAATGCTATATGAAGGGTGTAACTGCAACTCAGCCTGCAACTCAAGATAAAAAAAGCCTTTCTTTTATGTATTCATCAGGATTTGTTAGGGAACCATGAAGGAAACTGTGGGCATATTTGGGGATAATTGATGGCTCAGTGCTAGTAATATTGTGCAAAATCAACTAGATTGTGTAACTCCAACTAAGGCCAACCATGTGATGACATCGTCCATGCATAAGGACAATTGTTGCTGTCAAAAAACACTAGTTAGATTTGCATGAGCTCATATACGTTTACTTCAGAGCAAGTCACACAAATCATAAACCAATATTTTAACAATAACGTTCATTATTTATTCATACAAATAAACATTCTCAAAAATCCAGAGGGATGTCTTTAAGTCTGTACTGACTATTAATAATTCATGCCCAAAATACTTATTTCATATGAGCTAGAATCATCAACTGACGTTTGGATGTATATTACTGAAGAGACAGAAAGCACTTTAATGCTGGTGTTGTCGAGTACTGCCATCTACTGGCTTGGAAGAAATACAAAATCGACCTTTTGTGGCCATTATGATCACAATATTTCTCATCTCTTTTGGATTCAGATTTTCTTAAACTATGTTTCAGGTTTTTTTTTAATTTGATAAGGTAAAAAAAAATCTGTTTGTTTTAGTTTAGTAACCTGCAGTGAGACATACACTGCTGAAGAGCTTCTGTATGTGGACATAATGTTGCTATTGCATTGTGATACTTGCTGAATTAATTGTGTTAAAGTTGTAAGCCATCAGCAAAGGATGTAGTGTGTTGATATTTAGGATCAGTTTAGGTAGGAACAGAACACATTACACTATGATCCCTCTCTAACTTTACAGTCAGAAAACCCACAGGCAGTTACACTCCTATTAATGCTGTCTGTTAAATCTCATCTTCCACTACAGTGGTTAATGCCAAACATTTCCCCCTACTCCTAAAACATGTCCACCACCTTCCTCTAATTTTTGTTTTGTTTTTTTAAGCATGTACAAGGTCCAAGAGAAAGCAAAAGGAAATCATCTCCACTCACACCCACTCATTGCACTCAACCATTTCATTTAGTGGGAGATAATTCCTCTCAATCTGTGGCCTGAGGTCTACTGGCATAGAGGGAGCAGTAAACTAAGCCTAGCTGCTGACAGATATCCAGATCCCTTCTCTCTCCTGTCTTTTCCCCATGCTCGTCTCTCCTCCCCCGTTCCATCTTCGTTCTCCCTCTTTTCCTCCTGCCCCGCACAGTCAGCAAAGCCCCTCACAGTGCTGCTAGCAGCCATGTGGTCACTAGCCCCCACAGGGCTCAAAGCGAGGCTCAGCTGAGGCTTAACCTGCAGCCACTGCCAGAGTATATAAGCTTAGTGTACAGCTGTAGTCTGCCATGATTTAAGGGTTCCATACATTGTTATTCTTAAATAAAATCACTGTTACAGGAAAAGAAAGAAGCACATGGAATGAGAAATGATTTTACATGTAGGGGAACAAAGAAAAAAGGAACAGCCTCCTACTCTACTCAAAACCAAATCCATAAAGCAAATTCTGGTTAAAACAGAAACAAATCACCACATGTTTGCAGTAGTTCGGTGAAATTTAGTTTTTAATAATGGACTGATAAAACTGCTGTGTGTGTGAAGAGGAGCCTTCAGAAAGCTGGTATAATTGTTTTAAAAAGACACACCATGCACTTCAGAAGAAAACAGTTTAAACAATGTGAAGATGCATCTAAACTAAATCAAACTGAAAGAGACAAAGACAGTGATAGCTTAGGAAATACAGAAAAATAAAACATTACTTATAAAAAGTACGGAAAATGGGGCCCAATATATTTTCAAAACATGTTCGTCTGTAGTTCAGTGTGTTTTCATCTGATTGTTGTTTTTCATTTGTTTACTTATAAATGAAAATGAACTACACAGAAACACGTCAATTACTAAGGGTTGTTTTGTTTACATTTGTTGACTCATTACAAATGGATGCATAAACACCAACACTTAATTGCCATAGAACACCCAAACAAAATCCTATTACTTAATGTATTCTATGCATTAACTCCTGTGTTCAGCCACCATGTTGCTAATGCTGGGAGCGGCTGCAGCCTAGCTGAAAGGTGATCTTGTGCCATTCAGAAAATGAACAGGTGAACAAACTAATTTTCTTCTCTGACCATGGAAAAAAAGGGCAGCAGTCCCTTTGTTTGGTTTCTAAAGATGTATTGGCCCTCATGCAGCATGTAGCTAGAGAGCTTTTTGTGTGCTGCACTCTTAAACACCAGCCACTCTGCGCTCTCTGCTCAAGCTCTCTCACGACAGTCTTTGATTTCTGTGACCAGAGTTTGATATCACTTTAACTGCTTTATGTGGCAGCTGGTTCAACCCCCCATTGACTTTGCCCACATACCCTCAGGCACACACTCACTCACACATACACACACTTACTGAGCCTCTCTTTTCCTCAGCGATATTTTAACAATGCCCCCTCCACCCCTCCTCTGGACACGGCGTGTATAGACTGTGTGCCAAGAGAAGGATTAGTGTTTTATATCACTTCTGACATTCTGTTGGATCCCCCTGTGGCTCCAGTTTCTGTGTCTAGATGTTGGATGTTTTCAGCACAACTTCCACGCTTGTTGCTGCCCTCGCCCTCTGGAGGGATGTTAGCATTGCTCTGTGGAAATTGCCTCTACAACACGTAAACCTGATCTCAGCCATTAACTTCTTACTGCTAAGCTCTCTGCACTGCAGCTCTGTCCAACAGCCTCCAACGACTAAAACGTCCCAAACATTTGCCGGTGGTAGTTATCTATTTATTAAAGTTATGTCATTTACCAATTATTAATTGCACATTAGTAATTATATGCTCACTAAGCAAGGTACAGTGTCACTTTAAACCCTGAGCTCCCAATCTCCTCAAATTCTCATCTGCACCTCCCTTTCTCTGTCTCCCTCCCTCCCTCACTCTGTCCTTCCGCTCCCCTCTCTTTCCCCCCTGTGCTTATTAGTTAATGAATTGCTGCTCCTGAGGGCGATGGGAAAGGAAAACAGGCTGGCTCCAGGCAGATAGCTGGTCAGCCGCTCGGGTTTCAAAAACACTGGCTCCTGTTGCTCTGACAGCCAATTTGTCCCAGCCTACCTCCAACAAAAGGCCACATCTGGTCATTAGATCCAAAGGTTGGAAGGACAATGTGGACAGGCTGTACTAGATTTGTCTAGTTGTGTTTAGTGTGAAGCTGTTGGAGATGTGTTATTGGTTGCGTAGTTCGCTAACAATCATAACCCATACTACATAGATGTAATGGCTGATTAATCATACATCTCGGTTACCCCTGGAAAGGTTATGCATTCAGATTAGGTTTTTGTTGTATTAGACACCACAATGATTTCAAATTCCGGCTGAAACATGAAATGAAAAAGGAAATTCTAAATGTTTTAAACCTGTGCCCTTTTTTAATGACCTATTTGGGTGTTGAAATGACTCGTAGATAAAAATAAATGTTTAGAGATTTCTTCAACGGATCACTTCAGTCAGTGGCAATGACCCAATCAAAATACTTTGATTAAAATTGCACATTCAATGTACTTTTCAATACAATGTATTGAAGTTCAACATGACCATATGACATGTGAAACAATATCAGTAATCATGAATTTAAACCTCTCTGACATCATCCCCAAATCCTGAACATGCAAAGTTTGTTAAAGACAAAATCATGGCAGAGCTCTTTAGTAGGAATGTTGAGCGGGTAGTAGATGTAAGTGGCCAGTGAATGTATTCCATGATTATGTTTAGCTGGCTATGATCTACATTAAGAGTCTAAACTCAAAGACTCGTTCCTCCCTCGGTAACATTGCTTCTCTTCAGTTTCCTCGCCCATTAAAAAGTCTCGTGATGATCTCTCTCGTCTGTTTGCAGATGCTGACCATGAAGCGGCAGCAGAGGCCATTGAGAACATGGCAGATGCAGTCACACATGCTCGATTTGTGGGAACAGACCCTGCCAGCGATGAAGTCGTGCTTATGAAAATTCTACAGGTACAAAGTCTTGCACTTGTCTTTTTTTAAGTGATTTTGTGGCCTTTATTTGATAGGGCAGACAAAGGGGAGCAGGAAATGTTGGAAGGAGAGAGTAGGAGATGACTTGAAGCAAAGGGCTAAGGTTGGATTCGAACCCACAGCCGCTGCGATGAGGCTCTAGAGTAACAAGCCAGGCAGCACTAGTTGTGGTTGTTATACTCTGCAGCACAAGGCTTAACCAACTTGTGTTTTCCTGTACATAATAATAAACAAATAATAAAATAAATACCTATAAAATACAGTATTCAAGGAATTGTCTGTCAAAAAAGAAATGAATATCTGAAATATTGACTAAATCATTTAATGCTTGTTAAAGGAACATAGTGCATGAAGCAGGTCGTCAGGTTAAAGGATGTTTTGATTTATGAGACAATTCTATTTTCTACGTATTTTCCGTTAACTTGTCTGATTTATTTTTTGGATTAATTTAAGGCTTGTAGATTGGTTTTTCAAAACAGTCTTCTTGAACTATGTTCAGGTCCTAAGGACTCTACTGCTGACGCCAGTCGGAGCCCATCTGACCAACGAATCTGTTTGTGAGATCATGCAGTCCTGCTTCAGGATCTGCTTTGAGATGCGCCTTAGTGGTAAGTCACATCAATCACTCATCAAACCCAGATTTTTGACAAGATTGTGATTGGCCCTATACTGACCAGGAGAAAAGACTGTTGACTTGTCAAATTTTTCAGATTAGATATTGATGGATGTAGCTGTATTCTCACTATTTGTGTGTCATGTTTCTCGATCTCTTTCAGCTTGAAGTCATGAAGACGCTACTTTATATTGTCTCTTTGTCATGCAGCCTCTAACTCTGACTAAACTCTCTGCCTCTCTGTTTGGGTCTAATCTCTGACTTCTCTTCTGTGCTTGCAGAGCTCCTCAGGAAATCTGCTGAACATACACTTGTTGACATGGTGCAGCTACTGTTCTCCAGGTAAATAAATGGGACAGTGGTGAATGGAATATGGGGCAGCTTATAGCAGACATTTAGGCTTTTTAAGGCCCTGTTTCTACCAAAACATCTTTTTTAATATGCAAGCCTTATCGCTAGCCAAATAGTTTGTCCCGTGCCACTGTACATTGCATAAAGAGAGGATACACAAGGCAAAAGTGTATATTCTCGCTGAGCATTACCATTTTTTTTTTTTCTAGTGAAAAATGTCACGGTGACTTTTTCTCAGTTCTCAAATTCCACTAGAGGAGGGGTGAGATAAAAACCTCTATTGTCAAATCCTGGATGTACAAGTATTAAAAAAAACTGCAGTCTGAGAGAAATGAGTGCACGCCCCTCGTTTGTCCTCTTCTACATGTGTCAGTACTCCCCCTCAACCAGTCAAACATTTGCTGAACGCTTTCTGTGCAAAGCATTTATACTTTTGCTTATATTCCATATTATTTTAACCCAGGTTATCACGGTACCAAAATCTTAGACTTCAATGCAATATCAGTAAAAATCAATAATTCATAAATATTAGGTGCTTTCTTGTTTTTAATCACCACATTTTTGCAGGCAGACTCCTCAGCACTCAATACTGTCTAAAATGCACAAATAAATGGGAACAAATAGGTAATCAGACATTGCTAATGTACTTGTGCAATTTAGACAGCGTCACATCCTCTGATCTCTGTGTGTTTATAAGAAATACAATACATCGGCATCTTTATGAAATGACAAGACATCTATTTTTTTCTTTCTGTACTCTTTGATACTATAGGTCATTAAAATAACAGGGATTGTATCGTTTTAAAAGATGCAATATCAAAAAGTAACCAAGTATCAGAAATTATGACAACCTTCACTGTACCTAGACACAGGTGAAGCTTTCAAGTATTTCTGAAAGCTTGAGCAATATCCAAAGTGCCAGGTAATGTATTGGTACATGTTAAAACATAATGTTGAAAAACACTTTATTCAAGTCAAACATTTAGTCCAACACTTGTAGGATAGTATGGAAGCTGCTTTAAAGTGAATTTTCCAACACAAAAATCGCAGGTCGTCTAACTGCACATGAAGAGCAGGACAGACTGCCACTGCACTCCTCCATTACCTCTGGATTAGAGATTTGTGGTTATCTGCATATATCGGTCTCTCAGGCCTCATTATTCACCTCAAAGCTCATGAATTTCATTTGGTACTGTGCAAAGGGTCAATGGGCCACTGATTCACTAATGCCATAACATGATTTCCCCTTTGGCATTTAGCATAAGAGCCTCTCTCTACCCATCACCCCATACACACGCATATGTATGTACGCACATACACACACGCAAACCAACCTGTGCAGATGCATCAGAGTGCCAGTCACATTCAGTCACAGACAAGCGGATGAGCCAATTGAGCTTCACACCGCGTGATCTGCATATAGATGAAGCTGGTCTCTTCTCCAACGGCAAAGCTGCCAGCCCCATAAATACTAAGAAGCATACCCCCACACACACACACACGCTTTGCCAGCAATCCCAGACAGAAGCAATCAAGAAAATCAGCCACAAAAAAGAGCTCTCAGCTCATCTGCATGTAAAGGAGCTCACCTGCAGAACAAACAGAGCTTAAATACAGTTGTGTTTTTTTCCACCTCCCCTCTGAAGGCGTGTATGTCTCCACTGAGACGATTTGATGCAGGATTGATCACAAAGTGAGGGTTATTGTCCCTCCAGATATGTCCAGTGTTGGTTTTTGCCAAGCTTGTCGCCATTCACTGATGCTCCCTCCAATCATTCTTGGCCTGTTTTTGTTTACTGGCAGGACTCTTACATGGCACCTTGTTATCATATCCTTTAACAAGAAAAGCATGGCAGCCACAGTCGTAAACAGAGACATTCCTGCACATGAACATGAGATACAAAGTTATTGAGGGCATTTTACTACTTCCTTCTGATACACACACACACACACACACACACACACACACACACACACACACACACACACACACATCTCATTTTGCTCCAGTTCAACCCCAGCCCCCCACTCGTCCACAGACTCAGGATAATAGAGATGTGAAAGGGTCTGGGCTGCACGCCCCCCCTCCACCATCCACCAGAGAATAATGAGCAGCAGCTCTCCTCAGCTCCTCAGAAGGAGTCTTAGATTGCCTGCTGAAAGTATTAGGCATGTTAATCTGTTGGACCCACAGATCATCCAATAATCGGGCTCACAAGACAACACTCTATTAACGCTGACTTAATGTCAGGAGGGGGGCTGCAGGCTCCTTTTTTTTTGTTTGTCTGTGTGTATGTGTGCGTGACTGCTGGTGACATCTCATTTTCCAGCCAAGCCTAAGAGTCCACATCAGCATACACACCAACACACACACACACACACTAACGTACTCTTTGTGTAATGCCTTGAGAACAGCAGCCAGCATTGCTCATCAAACGCTTAAAAAGTTCATTGGCTCAGGTTTTAAAAGTTCAATTTCCTCCCCCTGATATTGCCTCTCAAGCAGCTTAAGACACATTCAAAATTCCTTTTTTTAATTATTTTTTTTATAATTTGTAAGCCCTGTATTTCAAATAGCTAATCAAATTTTCAGCGAGTAGGGAGACACACAATAAACAGGTTTGAAAGTAAATCCAAAGATGCAAATAACTAGAAATAGTTTAATTAAGAACTAAAACAACTGTCAAATTATTAAATCAGTAAATCTTCAACAACCAGTTTGATGGTTGTTGGTCAATAGCTTTTGATAGTTAATTGAATCTCTTTGGCTATTGGACTGTTAAACAGCTGAACATTGGACTCATGAAAAGTTGTCAACAACTCAGGTTTATTCGAGGGATACTTCATCCATTTGCATTAAGCTTTGTATCATTATAAACCTGGTAGTATTTTTGAATGGTCGTGCATCCCGCCCTCATTTTACCCTGAGACGGGAAATCTTTGTATTTCTTGTCTGCAAAAGGAGCCTCCAATGACGCAAAAAACGTCATTTTATGCCATCGGTGGCTGCTGTGGCTAGCGGGGGTGAAACTACATCGCTAGTTCCTCATATTTTGATGTTTTGTCATTTGATGCTGATTGTCTAAACACAACACTAGGTCATTCTATACTCAGGTATGTGTTGCTGTAAACAAAGGCTCATAGGTTGCCTCCTTCAAGAGAAAAATGTGTCATTTATAAAAAAGAAGATCTCAACACTGACAGAGCAGACTATATTACATGATGCATGCAGCGTAAGGATAAACTGGGGTTTAACATCACAGCCATATGAAGAGGTGTGGCAGGCAGATGGAAGTAGAAGAGTGTCACCATGTTTTACCCAGATAGAAACCAATGAGAGAGATGGTTTGTGCTGACAAAGGATCAATATGCTATTTATTTATAGATAAAGGGTTAGGTTAGGTGTTTTAAGCTGTGCCCAACAACCTACCTTTGGCAAGAACCTGTGGACTACCTCTGCTTTTTGTCTTGCTAGTTTGGAAAGAAATGTACATTGCACACAAATCTGAATTTCTCCTTTAACAGGGAAAATTTTCATTGAAAGTGTCGCGTTGAATGGTGGTGCAGTGGTTAGTGCGCGCGGTAGGGAAGCAGTCCTCAAATGCGGGCGGCCCGGGTTCAAGTCTGACCTGTGGTTCCTTTCCCGCATGTCACACCATACTCTCTCTCTCTCTCTCTCTCCCCTTGATTTCTGGCTCTATCAACTGTCTTGTCTCTCTTATAAAGGCACAAAAAGACAAAAGAAATCTTAAAAAAAATAAAAAAGGTGTCATGTTGCCAACATTGTTTTGACAGTTGTTAAAACTTGGCACTACTTTATACCTTTTTTAGTTACATGTATACAGTTCCCACTGTTCCTGTGAGTATGATGCCTCTGCAATGAACAACTGAGGGTTCTGTTTATTTCAGAAAATATATTTTTAAAGCCTAATTAATACATATAACTGTGTATTTTCTTCTTCCAGACTACCACAGTTCAAAGAGGAGGCCAAGAGTTACGTGGGTGCCAACATGAAGAAGGTAACAGAAGTGACATGTTGAATGTGTATTTGATCGGCTCGCTTTTTGTCCATTCTCACAGTCTTATTTATTTTCTCATCGTCATTGTGCTGTTTATTTTTTTTTTGTTTCTCTCTGAATGTTCTATTGACAGCTCTGAATCACAGTAAATGACAAAACATAACTTAACCTTCTTAGAAGTGCCATCACAGCCACATTATCCCTCTATATTGTGATCAGTACAACTTGATTTACTTTACAGCACTTTAGGAAAAACTACCTTGACTTATTAAGCCGTGTAATAAAAGGATTTGAAGTCTGAATCAACCTTTAACACACATATTTATGCTTTCCCTGCTGCTTTCACATGTTCAAATTTTGAAGCTCCCTTATATCTCATCTCTGCCCTTTAATTTAGTTTAACTTTATCAAACTTTTAGATATCAGTTGGAGTTGCCCATCTTTCTGTGTCTGCCTGTTTTGCTTCCGACAGACCTCATCCTGCATCCTGGACCCTCAGGATCTTATTTTTGCAGAGCAGCGTAGAAACACAAGTCAGAGTGGCCTAGAGAGGGTACTTAACTGTGCGTGTGGTTTGCCTTCTGGCGTAGTGCACTGAAATAGGCAGGTTAAACATGGCTTATTGCTGGGAGTGCATGAGGTTGCATTGGGTTGCTATTGAACGTTGGTGATTTTCAAATCTTCCATGCATTTTTAAGTTATTAACAATCATCACTGAATTCATTCATTCAGAGATACAGTTACGTGTTGTTTCACAGTTTTTTTTTGTTGCAAATACTAATATAAAGGACTTTAGTGTCAGCAGCAGCTTCCTGGATATTGTAAGCATGAAATTTTAATGCCATTTAAATGCATCTTTAGGGCAACTCATTTTAACATTTCTTGGAGCACTTTGATGACCCTTAGCAAATTTAAATGACTTTAACTTACTATAGCACACTTCAAACTTCCATAATGTGGGTTGAAAGACTTCCAAGATAATTGTCTGGTAAGTTTTAAATATCTGTCCAACAGAAGGCTAAGGATACAGAATGCGACTGATGTTGGACAATCCAACATTAGAGTTAGCCTTCAGACACATTAATGGTCTGGAACTAAACAGGAGCTGAAAATTGAAGCTTCCTGTTGATCAGCCTGTTTCGGTTTCTCGAACTGACACAAATCTGACTTGGGTATGGACTTAAACTTAAAATGTCATGATACGCAGTTGCAAAAAAAATTGTTGAGACAATGTGATAAAATGTGTGTAGTTATAAATGCGTCTGTAAATATATTTGCTGAGGCAGGAGTGGACACATCAGATTGAGTGTGTATGTGTGAAGTGGCTGTGTTCTCTACATCAGTGGAGGAAAGTTAATGTATTTCTGCCAAACCAACTTCTAAACCTACTGGTTAAAAACTGCTGTAATAAAGCATCACTCTTGTAGCATAGTTGTAGCTGTTGTTGCTGTTTGCATGCTCTGTCTGCCTGATCACTCACACATTACCTGGCTCTATGCTGGTTAGAGCTAGTAGTGGCTGTGTCTGTCCCCAAACCCTGTGCTCTGTTTGGATCCCGTCTCCCCCTCCCATCATGCATCAATGTGTATACTCGAGTGTGTCTTGTGTTGGTCCCACTGCTGACATGTTACCCATCACTAATCACGGGCACATGCCCGCTCCCCTTCTCTTTGAGGCTTACAATATCTTGTGGAAAAACAAACGAGTGCAGGTAAGGAAGATAACTTTCAGTATTTAGGCTGGAGAACCTCTCTCCCTAACCCCTTGTCCCCCTGTCCATTTTCTAAGACCTCATTAACCTCCCACTTCTTTAGTCTGTGGATTGAACTAGAAGAGGAACTTAACTTGTGCTGTAATGAAGAAGTGAAATTCATGTATTAAAGATCAAACATCTGGTAGATGTTTCTTGACCTACGTTAAACCTAGTTCAGTATAACATGTCTGTGCTTGTGATTTCTCATATTACATTTGAACTATTACGACTGTTTTTATGGGTTAATCCATTTACGCATACATCTCATCTATCATGCCACCCATATGCTTTCTGAGCCGTTAGAGCATAGAGCATGTTTTTATGTATTCTTTGAAAGAAATGTTAGAGAAGATCACTATACAGGTAGACATTAGAAGAATGCCTGATACTAGAAAAATATATTTTATAAACAAGCCAAAAAAAGTGATCATGAGAGAGAGAGTTCATTTATAGAACCGTTTAAAACAACGGGACACATCAAAGCAGAATAAGAGGAAGATTAATCTATAGTATTTGTAAGCATGTTCACACTGTGCTGTTGTTTTTTTTGTGCAATTATCTTTGGAATTCTCTGCTGGTTGATTCACAGCATAAGCTGTGTTCATTGGCTGTGATCAAATAGGATGTTATTTGTTGTAGCTCACTCTTTATCTCAGTTGTCTTTTTTATGTTCCTAATCCCCTTCTGGGTCTGATATGTTATACAAGATGACAATTGAAGTTTCTTTCAATATATACAAGCTTTATTTAGATACCTGCATTGTTGTTGCTTTAGTATGTTATTACAGTGTAATAAACTAGTCTTCAGACCAGGTGATGTGATGTGGAGACACATCAGGCTTACAGTTCGGTCTTTGCTGTCGAGAAAAAGCTTCACTAATGCTTCATAGCATTGGAGTGTCAAAGCCTCTCACCCTAGTGCTTACAAATTCTATCAGCTACATTTCTTATCTTCTGAGGACAACATTTGAATGTTTCTATCCTAGCATAGCATCCTATCTGATCATGGCTTTTATCAATAAGTGATGATCCAGCAGTGAGGTTCTTTTCGAGTGTTACTCATTGATTCAATCTGTTTCCTCTAGTTAAAGATGCGTGCTGGTGGGATGAGTGAGTCATCCAAATGGAAAAAGCAGAAACGCTCACCAAGGCCACCTCGCCACATGGTCAGAAGTTCTTCCGGTCAGATGGACCCAGCGCAGTCCAGCACCCTCAGTAACAACAACATTTCAGGTAAAAGACAAAAACTTCTATTAACCACACAGGCACCAATCATCTTCCCTCAGCTTTCAGGACTTTCTTAAACCTGTGATCACAACAAATACTGCAGTTGACTTTATTTGTCACATTATTGTCTGCAGGGTAAAAGGTGGAGGATTTATTAATTTGCAAATAGAAAAACCAGAAATCTGCACAAGTTTGTACATTTGTGTCTGGCGAAGGGGCGGCTGTGGCTCAGTTGGTAGAGTCGGCCATCTTTCACCCGGAAGGTCGGGTTTGATTCCCAGCTCCTGCAGCCACATGTCCGATGTGTTGAGTTTGTATGAATGGATTAGTTAATACTGATGGACAGTTAACGTGGCAACCTCTGCCATCAGTGTGTGAATGGGTAGGTGTGAAAGCGCTTTGAGTATTCAGAAGACTAGATAATAGCTATACAAGCTCCTGTCCGTTTACCATTTACCATCATGCATGTTACACCATTGTATGACCTGCTCTGTCCCCTTAAGGTGGTGTCCCCTTTATTGAGCCAGGCTTGTCCGCCTCTAGCCTGCCAGCTTCGGACAGTGCTGCTTCGTCCATTTCCAGCCCTACAACCACAGACAGCGGCCTGGACACCTGTTCCAAGGCCACCTCCAGAGAAGACTTGTCTGACTTAGAAAACTGTAGCTCATCTGTGACCACGCCTAGCGCTGCTTCTACACTAGCTGGAGTAGAGCTGGGCTCTCCAGATGCACAGGTATGACTGTTTCGAATGCCATCAAGATGTCCAACAATATCCTGTTTGTCCATTATCAGTTATTACACCCACATACATTGTATGACTTGTGTCTACAACTTTTTCATTCTTTAGCTGCCATAGTGTCTTATATTCTTGTTTACTCAAGCAGAATGATAATCTCTGTTCGTGGACTAATGTGCGACTTCAGCTTTCACAATTTCTGGTGATTAGTTTCATGTTTCAATTTGTGTCCAGTCTGAAGGCAGGCCGGTTGGGACAGCTCACTCAGCCTCAGTGGAGTCCATCCCAGAGGTTCTGGAGGACAAAGACTCCATCACAGAGCAGTCAGACAGCGTGTCTGTCCACGACATTGACTACGTCAACCCCAGAGGTGTCCGATTCACACAGTCCACACAAAGAGACGGTGAGGATGATGAGGGTTTCACTCTTTATACAAAGTAAAAGACTAACACTTCCTTTGAGTATCAAGAATATGTAAATTAAAGTTGAGATTGAGTCTTTTATCTACACACTGTGGAAATCTTCTGTACTTGTCATATAAAGTCAGATCTGCAAATGAATAAAGTTTTTCCTTCACCATCACCTATCTCTAGGAGCTTCCATCGTTCCTTATGGCCTGCCATGTCTAAGGGAACTTTTTCGCTTCCTGATCTCCCTGACCAGCCCCCATGACCGCCACAACACTGACGCCATGATGCACATGGGCCTGCAGCTGCTGACCGTAGCACTTGAATCAGGACACCTTGCTAATTACCAGTCTTTACTGGGACTGGTGAAAGATGAGCTCTGCAGACATCTCTTCCAGGTAAAGAAGAATGTTGAAATGTATGCTCATATTTTTGTTTGTATGTGTTTGTCGTTGAATTCATATTGGTGTGATTGGATTTGACCATGAAAGTGACAAATCATTTGGTCGATGTTATGTCCAGGGAGGATGAGAAATCTCTCACTTTGAAGCTTGCTTTATTTTCTTTCGTAAGAGATATGTTGAAGCTGAATCTTTCCTGAACCATTTCTTATATCACAACACAGTAGCAGTGTTTTAACCATCACTCTTACCTTCAAAATGAAAGTAGTAAACACATTCAACTACAGTAAAATGTGAGCTTGCATGAAGAAAACAAAAAAAGGACGATGTTGATTTTCTGTATTGATAATTTAGTGTTTATTTTCTGATTCTTTTTTTTTTTAGTTGCTGAGTGTGGACCGTATGAACCTGTATGCTGCTTCCATACGAGTTTGCTTCTTGCTTTTTGAAAGTATGAGATTACATCTAAAGTTTCAGCTCGAGGTGAGAATATAACCAGTGTACCCTTTTACCTGTTTGATAAGCATCAAATGATCTGCAGGTTCTATCAAATGACCATTAGCCTAAAGCAGAGTCTAAAGTGACACATTTGTAATCCAGCTATTTGGAGAAACTAAAGTGGACTTGTAATCATAACCCTGGCAGATGTACCTGAAGAAACTGATGGACATCATCACCTCAGAGAACATTAAGATGCCCTATGAGATGAAGGAGATGGCTCTGGAGGCTCTGGTCCAGCTGTGGAGGATCCCCAGCTTCGTCACTGAGCTCTACATCAACTATGACTGTGACTTTTACTGCTCCAATATGTTTGAGGATCTCACCAAGCTGCTGTCCAAGGTAAGGAGCCCCCTTAAAAGATCACTATAAGCTTAACGATGATGAAGATTTCAGATTGTATTTAAAAAATCTATATATGAATTATTTTTTTTGTACAAATGCAGTGGAATGTTCATTAATAATCATTATTATACTTCAAGTAATCAACGGTTTCCATCACAATTGAGAAGGATAAGATCACATTTTTGATTATGAGTGGATTCACATTTTTACTTTCTATATTATCTATTGTCTATTGAAGGTTCTGCTCTTTATCACTGATTTGATAAGTCATGAATCAGTCTCGAGATATCTTCCTTCTATGGTCTAGTAGTTATGACGCGTGGCCCATGTACACAGGCTATAGTCCTTGTGGGTTTTAATTAATTTCAAGCTGATAATTGCAAAAATACCCCAAAATAATAACCAAACTCTTCTTCTTCCACACTCATAGTATACTCACAAATCAGGAAGTGTATTGGCAATGTAAGGTGATTTCAAGATTCACAATAGCATCAATAAAATTAATCAATTGTATTTTTTTGATTTCTTTGATCAACATGACCTTGATACAGATACTGAATCTGTGTGATAATAGACACAGCAGAAATCCTTTCTGTGTTTTTTTATAATCTGGGATACGCTTCTAAAGATGTTTTTATATCAAATCAAATCCAGTATTTTGTAAAACAGATTCCCTCTCTCCTTACAGAATGCTTTTCCAGTGTCAGGACAGCTGTACACCACACACCTCCTTTCACTGGAGGCTCTGCTCACCGTCATTGACAGCACTGAAGCCCACTGCCAGGCCAAGGTTGTCAACAACACAGCTCAACAGGACCAGTCAGAAAGCATGCTGGCAGAAGGAGAAGGTTCAACCAAAAACGGAACAGACACTTCAAATGGTAAACTCATCCACCGACACAAACACTGACTTTAAGGAATGTTTTGACCACACTCTAAAGCACCTCCTTATTATTTATTCATGTAAGTTATTTGATTTATTTGATTTTAAACCCGATCCGGTTTCTCTCGTCTATGCAGATCTTAATAGAGTGAGCAGCACCAATGGTCTTCCACCATCTAAGACTGCAGCAGTGTGTCCACCGACCAGTGGACATCTAATGGCAGAGAAGATGAGACTGGGAAGACAGGATCAAGGAGACAATGAAACTGGTGAGCCTTCGGCTTTGAAGTTGTACTTTACATCAAAGCATTATGATGGAGACAGTCAGTTGAAAAATTATTTTTTTGTTTTCATCCAGCTGAGAAGAGAGCCCCGAAAAAGCCTCATCGTTTTTCATCATGCTCACCCGATTCCCAGGAATTGCTGGACATTAGAACAAAGAAAAAGGTGAGAGGTGTTTGTTGCTTTTATGTTTATTTTAAAAGTGAACATCAACAACTAATGCTAAAAGAATGTACAACCACAACTCACTTTCTCTGTGTGTTCAGCTGCTGATCACAGGCACAGAGCAGTTTAACCAGAAGCCAAAGAAGGGGATTCAGTTCCTGCAGGAGAAAGGCCTCCTCAATGACCCTCTTGACAACAACCAGGTGGCCCAATGGCTCAGAGAAAACCCCCGACTGGACAAAAAGATGATCGGGGAGTATGTCAGCGATCGCAAGAACATGGAGCTCCTAGACAGCTTTGTAAAGTATGAAATTCCAGCCCATAATTGTTGACCATTGAAATGTTTGTTTTTTTGTTTCATTTGGTTTTTTACTACCTGGATTTTAAGCTTAGTGGAAAGATAAAGATGGGGCTATAATCTGAATCTGTTGTTTGCAGCACATTCACCTTCCAGGGGCTTCGTATTGATGAGGCCCTGCGGCTTTACCTGGAGGCCTTCAGACTTCCTGGAGAGGCTCCTGTCATCCAGAGACTCCTGGAAACCTTCACAGACAACTGGCATGTAAGGCACTTCTCCTTCACTTCTGAAAAAGTCAGGACACAATTCTTAAGTGTGTATCACCAGCAGTGAGGCTGTCAGATGAATACATAGTTCTGATCTGTGTGCCTCACTATTATACTTTGGACTGAAGTCTAACTTAAATAACATATTAAGATAACTTACAACTGGACTCTAAAGTGTTAACTTTTCAGATTCATCTTTGGACTAAAAAGTTGTGAAACTGAATACTATGGATGTAAACTGACTACTTAGAATCTTACCAGCAGCATGAGCAGAATATAACCCGTACCCAATCAGGATAAAGAGATTATTTTTTAACAAGCGATAAACCATCTGCAAATCCCATTTTATATTCCAGATTTAAACCCTGCTTTTACTTCTAGATCAATAACTGCAGACCTCACTTCGACTTTTCATATGAAATGACCAAACCTAATATTGTGCCAATAATCTCATGTTTTTATGGCATAAGATTTACTTTCACTCATTTAATTTCAGCAGCCTCATGTATTAACTATTGATGGAATGAGGATTATGGCTTTATGGCTGACACTAACATCTAAGATCTGGGCACTCTTCAGCAGAGTTTGCCAACTTGAAACCAACGTCTCCTCAAATCCATGTCTGACCTGTTTCCATCACTGATGGTTGGTAGGCATGAAAGAAAGCCTGACTTTGTAACTCTGCCTTATTCAGTTTTTTATTTGTTAAAGACTCAAAAACACAAAGAGCTGTATGTGTCTGATGTTGGCTTGAAAACTGACTTGTCTTTTTACTTACCTGACTTCAACATCACATACTTTGACTGACTAGTGGCTTACAAAACGACTTATTTGTACCACATCTGTAAATGTATGATTTACTTACTGCTGTCTGCTCTACACACCATATCACCCATCTCCAAACAGAAAAGCAAATCTAAAACACTGTTGCATGATTGCCCCTCAAGATTATTGTAGTAGGATGACATAAGTGTTAAAACAGACACACACATGGATCCACAACGATGGACAAAGGACAAACTAGAGCGAGGGGACATTTGACTCCTCAAAATAGCAGGAGGAGCCATGTGGAAACTATTCCTAGTAATGTCCTTTTCTTAGACTGCGCTCATACATAGAAATAGAGGCCTTGAAAGAGCTGATGAGTAATTTTAGTCAGTGACACTGTAAATGAGTTTTCCACTCTATGGGAGCCACTGGAATATCAGCCGAACATGCAAGGTCAGATTGAGCTCTGATTCAAACAAGGATAGGCTGTTCTTATGTAATACAGAGTAATACAGTTCCCTGGTTTTGTGTTTGTTGGTTTGAAGCCTCAGATTATTCACTACTACTGCATGTAACATTTTGTGTAATGTATGTGTGTTTGCAGAAAGTGAACGGCTCTCCTTTCATGACCAACGATGCAGGGTTTGCCTTGGCCTACGCTGTGATAATGCTGAACACTGATCAGCACAACCACAATGTTCGCAAGCAGAACATACCCATGACCATAGAGGTGAGTGGTGTCTCTGTTCATTTCTATTAAACTTTGTCATTTCATAAACCAGGATGAAGGCACAAAGATGTGTGATATTCATCAGGCCTGGAGGGCCAGTGAAAAGACACCACAAACATGCTTACTTAAGACCAATTCTCATCTTTGCTCTCTGAATATATGAGGCTCTTGTTGATGGTATGCATCATGACGCTTTTGAGGTGGAGAGGTGCTAAACGGATTATTAGTCTTGAATATGGATTGTAAAATGTGAAAGCAGTCATGGATTATTGTTCGGCCTCGCTCCTTTCTTTGCTTTTTTCGCAGCTTTAATGTTAGAAAGAGTTTTAAATCATTTAATTTTTAAATTAAATTAAAACGTCACAAGAACTTATGTCACAAAATATCTCAGACAAAACATATAGGATCATGTATTTATGTTATTTTGGCTGAAATCACAAAGTAGATGAAACATCAAATGAACACAACTATAGGCTTTAAGAAATGTGTTTTAATAATCTAATAATAACTTTGTCTGGCTTGAGGTAGAGGCAGGACCTAACTCATCTTCATCATCTGTTTACTGAAATAGTGAATTTATCTCTCGGTGCATCTTTGTGCGGCAGTACTGTTTTTTTTTTTTTTCTAAAATAGCTGCCTCAGATTAAACCATTGAATGATCTTAGAAATGTGTTCAGATTTTATTCTGAAAGGACAAAAAGAACCGATGAGTATTGAAGCATCTTGGATATGCCACCATTTGTGTCTGTCTGAATGTACTACATTCCTCTGATAGTGTTAGCATTTGCACTGGTGAGGCTTGGCGGCTCAGAAAACCCACAGCCAACAGCTGTAGCCAGTGGTGGTCCGTCTGAGAGGTGAACTCATCCTAAACAGGCGGCGAGGGTGTGCGTGTGTGTGTGTGTGTGTGTGTGTGTGTGTGTGTGTGTGTGTGTGTCTGCAGTCTTTGTCTCTGTGTTTTTTTTCTGCCATTGATTGACAGCTGATGAAGACTAAACAGGGTCTCTGGGGCAGCTTGTGGGTGGGCCACTCTCACTGACAACAATAGCAAGCTCTTGCTTTCGTTCTTTCTTTTTTTTTCTTTCTCACTGTATTTTATGTACTCATAAATTGTAGAACAGATCGAGCATGCCGCATCATACAGCTGCTGTTTTATGTTGTTTTAAATATCCCTATACATTCTCCAAAGGTCACTTGCGGTGTAGTGAAGAAAGCTCGTTGACCTCAGGGCTCAGACAACAGGCAGAGGCTTCAACACAATAGCGCGGAGAGGACTAATAAAAGTGGCGCCTAGCACTTCAGTTACTTAGCAGCTTGCAATTTGTAGTATTCACCACAGCATGTGTTGGCAGTGTGGTTATTTTTGAGACAACTATGCCTAGCATCACAGTGTGTAAATGAGATCCTATTCTCAAGGATCTGACAACGACATGTATGTTTTCAGGGAGGTGCAGGTGAGGTCAGTGGGATTATGTCCATAAAACAAAGCAAGCTGTTGATTTGGAAGCTTGTTGTTGCCAGCTACTGCTCCCTCAGCCACTCTGTGATACCAAGCAATAAACTATATTTATGTGTGAGCGTAAGAATGTGTATGTCAAATAGATGTCTGATCCTGTACCCTCATGCTTTCTCGGGCTCTCTTGCTGCCGGTGTTTATTTTCTGTGTGTCCCTGCAGAGAAGCTCCTGTTTCCCCTCTTCTAACCTGCTAGTAGAACAAACCCTGCCACAAGACCAAGCCTTGAGGCTGTCAGTCATCGCAGTGTGGCTCTGTTTATTTACAGGAGGCTCTGGGCTCTAATCCCTGCTTTCTCTAATGCTGCAATTTAAGCATATTAAGTAACACATAACGAGTGTGTTTTAATTGTCGGATGCTCGGTTAAAGAAGAACTGAATGCCGGAGGCTTTGGTGTGTAAAGCTAAGCTACTGACTGGCATGTTAATGGTGTTCAAATAAAGTTGAGGATGAGGATACCAAATAGTTAAATTGTTCACAACTGATTGCACCTTTTTTGTTTTTTCTTTAAACAGCAATTCAAGAAAAATCTGAAGGGAGTGAATGGAAACAAAGACTTTGACCAGGACATGTTGGAGGACATCTACGTTGCTATCAAGTAAGCTGTATACTGTAGGATTGACCTCATCCTCATTAACAACATCAACGTCAGATCAGTATCTCTCACTCAACTAAAGAAAAATAACCTTTAAAATTGTAAACGAATATCTGACAAGCCCTGCTTATTATTTTATAAGTTGTTTGTCTATTCTATCAAAAAAAACTCTTGAACTGTTTCTCACCTGTTGGATCATTTTGTTTTTTCCATCCAACTGTCTAACAAACCCAAAGCTTTATTCTGGAGAAGCAGGAGCTGGAGAATGACGGGAAGACGAATCAATTTTCAATTTTCATTTAAGATACATGTTGTTGATATTTTTTTTTTAATTGAATGAAATAGACATTTTCAATGATGAAGTGTACTCAGAAGACTTTCATTTGTGTAAATAATTGTTAAAAAATGTTCAACACTTTTCTAAAATGTGAACAGCATGGCTGCTCCTCGGTAGATCTCTGCCTCCTATACTACAGATAGTGCTGATGGTGGTGTAGACTGCAGAGTTGGGGCACGCTCTGCTGGACAATTAAATGATCACACTATTTCTAAACTGCTCAGTGTGTCCTGATGATTTAAAAGTTTTCATTTCTCTGCAAACAGATTATTTTTATCTTCATCTATTCATCCAATAGATTGTTCCGAACTCAAACTTCAGCAAATTTGACATCCTATCACTTATCCAATTTTTAAGTCTGTTTTTATTAAGGCATTTCAAGTTTGAGGATATATTAGACATTAAGATAAATGTCTTCAAGAAGTCGTGAAAAAAAGTTAATTTATTTTTACACGTAACACTTAGGAATCATATCGTTAGTAATCCTTTCATCAGATTCCACAAAGGTTACCCTCTAGCCTTTTTCATTGCCTTCATTTCAAAGGTGACATGAGCGGACTGATGTTACAGCTGATCTGTTCTGTTTTTTTTTTAATCTGTAGGGGTGATGAGATTGTGATGCCAGATGAGCAGAGTGGGTTGGTGAAGGAGAACTACGTGTGGAGTGTGTTGCTACACCGTGGAGCTACATCTGAGGGTGTTTTCCTTCGCCAGCCACCTGGCAGCTATGACCATGACCTGTTCACCATGACCTGGGGTCCCACCATCGCTGCCCTCTCTTATGTCTTTGATAAGAGTATGGATGACACCATCCTCCAGAAGGCAATCACTGGCTTCAGGTACACAGTTTCAAGTACTCACCAGCTAAGGTCGTGGTAAAGGCGGATGCTTTGAATGAGTACATAAATGTACAGCAAAACAACAGACATCCAATATCTCTCAAATAAAGGCATAAAAGCTTAAAATCTTAAAAAAAGAGTTTGCTGATTGGTCACTGAACAGGGCCTCAGAGTCTACAACAGTAGACACAAAGTTCATTACTAAAATCTTTAAGAATGCAATCTCTTACACGCTGAGATGTTTCTGTGATGTTTCAAGATATATACACTACATTCATTTATGTTTTCTTTTCTTTTTGCAGGAAATGTGCAATGATAGCAGCTCACTATGGCTTCAGTGATGTTTTTGACAATTTGATCATCTCCCTCTGCAAGTTTACCACTCTGAGCAGTGAGGTATGTGGTTACATTATAAATACAGATGAATGAATTTGTTCCATGTTATCTTTAGGATAACCACTTTTACTTAGAAGTCCCATGATACATCAGTTTGTTTGTTTCCATTGCAATTAAAAGTGCGAGACACACACAGAGTTATTTATGGTATTTACAAAAGAAGATGAAGGAGGAAAGGGTTCAAGTAACACAGCGGTACATAGTTGTTCAAAAGCAGCATGACTTCTATAAGGAGGATCTGTTGAATAAACTATAATTATCTTTTTAAATGGCAGGAAAACCCTTTTAAATTGAACTTAATTGATCACTAAGTCAATATTTTAATCAAGTATTTCTCATAATTTAGGACGCTGGATAGCCTAGCGGTTATGATGCGCACCTCATGTGCAGAGGCAGAAGTCCTCGTCGCATCAGCCGTGGGTTCAAACCGGCCTTTCCTGTCTTTCCTGTCTAATAAGGCAAAATAACAAACAAGAAATCTAACTTTAAGCAAAAGTATTGCTCTTAATTTCTTTTATTTAACAGCTTCATGATTTTTTTTATTCAGTGGGCTATTAATAAAACACACTTACACCTTCTGTACATGAATGACAATAAGGTTATGTTGTATGTATACTGAATCTGTTAGTTAAACATACATAATCACAGATGTGGTTCTAAGAACAGTCAGAATCACATCAATGAGTATGTATGAGAAACTGTGTCAGAATGTCCGTTAAGTTTTGGTGTGTCCCCTCTCCCTGCAGTCCGTAGAAAACCTCCCTACAGTATTTGGCAGCAACGGTAAGGCACAGACAGCAGCCAAGACCGTGTTTGACCTCGCCCATCGGCACGGCAACATCCTGAGGGAGGGCTGGAAGAACATCATGGACTCAATGCTGCAACTGTTTAGAGCCGAGCTGCTCCCCAAAGCCATGGTCGAGGTCAGGACTGGTTTTCTACTCTCCAAACATTCTTTTACATTCTGTCACTGAATGATTCATGTCTGCTTTTGAAAAAAGACTGCACATACGTTCTGTCTTTTACATACTTTGCTGCCACCTGCTGTCCATTGCTAAAACAATGTGCTTGTTTTCACAGGTTGAGGACTTTGTGGAACCAAATGGAAAAATTTCACTTCAAAGAGAGGAAACACCTTCAAATCGGTATGCATAGATCCCACCTGCTCTTTAAGTCTTTATTCCTAGAGGAAGGGACCATCTCTCTGATGATGATGATGATGATGAGATTAGAGTTCACTGAAACAATCTGACCAAAAGTCGAGAGAAAATAAATACATTTTCATACTCTGTTCCATGACAGCGGCGAGTCAGCCGTGCTGAGTTTTGTCAACTGGTTGACGTTGAGCGGAGCCGAGCAGTCAGGACTCAGAGGACCGTCCACAGAAAACCAGGAGGCCAAGCAGGCTGCCATCCTTTGTATAAAGGTAAAAAAACATAACAAGGTTATGATACTTCAAAAGTATTTCAAAGCATAACTATTTTTGAAATAGGTTTGTAGTACAGCCAATAAACGTTTTGCTCTATAAAATACAAATAAAAGAAAAAAGTCCTTCCCTAATCAATTCTTGGTTTTTATTTTTAAATCTTGCTGAAATGACTTAAACCATAAAACCATCATCTAAGGGTTATTAATACATAGTTTACGTAATCCTTATCGTACTGCAAATGATGTACACATTACCACTTTTCTATAACACGGAAATAAGACAAGTTTTTTTGAAAATTATTATTCTGGAATTTACAGACTGTTCAATTTAAAGTATCCTTATCTGGTTGTTTTTCTGTTCTCCATGCACATAGAACATGTATTCTACATTTTGTATTAATGACAAAATTTCTAAGACACATCAGCTTTAGGTAGTTTCTGAAGTTGTTTAAATATTTCCAGAGTGACTTCAATATATCAGATCAAGTACTCTGTATGTTCTCTGGTAAACCGATACAATCCTTGTGGTTTCCCACGTTCAGACAGTTTTCATTGTAATAATGTATAAATCATCATTTGTAAATGTTGTTTTCTCTCTTTTAAGCAATGTGACCCAGAAAAGCTGATCACAGAGAGTAAATTCCTGCAGCTGGAGTCTCTTCAGGAGTTAATGAAGGTAATGGTTATTTCTTACAAACATTTCTTGGCATCTTTTACGTAAAATATCTCATAGTTGTCTTGTCCTGTGTTGACTTTATCTGCTTTGGTAGATGTATTTTCTCATTTGTTTGGGACCTAGTTTGGATAATGGCGATGGTGTCTAACTTGGTTTCTTCTCCCTAGGCTCTGATATCAGTCACCCCAGATGAAGAGACGTATGATGAAGAGGATGCTGCCTTCTGCTTGGAGATGTTGCTGCGTATCGTTCTGGAGAATCGGTAATGATGGGAATTGTGATGATGATAGCTAAACAGCACTGACAGTTTTTTTTTTATGATGTCTTGGTCATTTTCAACACATCAAACATGTCCTTCTCCGTTTGTGTGTGCAGAGACCGTGTGTCATGTGTGTGGCAGACGGTACGTGACCGTCTCTGTCACCTCTGTGTTCACGCACATGAGAGCTGCTTCCTTGTAGAGAGGGCTGTGGTGGGGCTTCTACGACTCGCAATCCGTCTGTTGAGACGGGAGGACATAAGCTCTCAGGTACACACACACTTACACAAATCTTGACATACTTGGACACAAACACTGCAGCAGAGTCGGTGTGATATTACGGGCGGAAATAATCATTTCAAGTCAGCAGACTGTCCCAGAAGTTTGAAACTTCAGCAATGTGACTTTTACTTTTTGTTATTGTACATTTAAAAAAGAACATTTATTTTGGCATGTTGCTGAATAAAAGCTTCTCTTACAATCTCACTGCCCCGCCCTCCTGAGCAGACATTTGTATTGATTGGTGCACACTTCCAACTCTTCTCTGGGCCAACGTAACCCCTTCGTCATCGCCTACTCATCAGCAAGCTAGACTTTAATATTCTATCACCAGTGCATGATGCTCTCTGGTTTCCTATGAGTAGGTATCTGCTGACTAATCAAGTCATAGGTATTTCTAAATCACATTCACAACTTCATGAGATGACCTTAGGGCATTAATGTTAAATCTGCCCTGTCACTCAGTTTGTTCCTCAGACTGGGGCTCGCAACTTAGAAAAAATCCTGTCACTTTTGAGCTTCCACTGATCCAGAGGGACAGAAAATAGTGACACCTCAGAGGACCTGAGGGATCTTAGTTTTTAGGAATTAAGAGGGAGCCAATCCATAGAGTTGAAAAATTTTTATACATTCTCTTACAAACACTGTCGTTTATCCCAAATGCTCACAGGAGAGAGAAAAAATAATTCAGATTTTAATGCTTTTGTTTGTTGAGATTTGTGACATGTTAAGCACCTTTCACCAGGGTCACTTAGCTAATCCTGCAGTCAGTCTCTTAGTCTTGAAGAACCACTGACACTAGAGGAGAGGGGACCTTACTTTGATGACCTCGCAGTCAGTTTGATGTTTTAAACCTTCCACAGGTCATACTCACGGCACTATCATGGATGTTAGAGGTGTTGATGTTTTATGTCAATGCGACTTTTCTAATTGGAACACCTAATGTAATAAAAACTCCTTCGTTGTTTTTAAACAAAGACTATGTGAGTCGTGTGCTGACAATCGGGTCATTACACATTGACCTGACCTCATGTTAGAAGACATCTTCACACCATGAGCCATCTAATGCAGAGATAACTGCCTCACATCTCAACATTTTCTTTAGTTTGTACGTAAAACAAACAAGTAGGGCTCATCACTTCATAATAAAAATGTAGTTAACTAAATGTTTTCAGAACGGTTGTGATCACACTTTCCCCTTCTGTCTATGCATTTTCTTCTGCTCCTTCTTGATCAGGGGACGGTTATTAAAGTTAGCTTAAAATAAGTGGAATTAGAGTCAAAGGATGAACATTATAAATCCATATTGATAACAGCAGGATTACCATACTTAGATTTCAGCCCTAATCTCCTCCCTCTCTGCATGCACCAACAGGTTCTCCTCTCTTTGCGGCACCTGCTGATGATGAAGCCTCACGTCTTGTCCCGGGTCACCAGGGAGGTGGCGTTCGGCCTCCACGAGCTGCTGAAGACAAACGCAGCCAACATCCACTGTACAGACGACTGGTACACGCTCTTCTCTCTGCTGGAGTGCATCGGAGCGGGAGTGAAACCTCACGCCTCTTTTCAGCTCGCCTCCACCACCACTGACAACGATACAGGTTCAGTATTCCTCCCAGCATCTTGACTTTGTTTCTGAGGGTAAAAAAAACTTCTGGAAATTTAGAAGTGATGAGAACATATTCACCAAACTTCCAGTAAACTTGCTGTTCTGCAGTGATGAATAATGAGCCCTTCTTATACAGAACAGTCAAAGAATTTAAAGGATTTTTTTCTTTCTTTTTGCTCTGTGCCTCTTTAGGCGCTCAGTCAGATAGCGAGCTGCAGTCTCATCATCCAAGTGAAGCAGTTTTAGACCGTGGCTACACTTCTGACTCCGAGGTCTACACCGATCACAGCAAGGCCAGGATCCCTCGCTCCATTACGGACGTGGATGTAGCCAGCAGTGGATGGCTCGTGGTCAGTACAAACACACGCACCCACATCCTCACACATGTACAGAAAACAGCGAGCACCGAGATGTACTGTCTTTTTCATTTTCATTCAAAAATCAGTCATGTGTTAAGTGTCTCACATTATTGATTTCAGTACTTCATGAATATTTGATTCTTTGAAAAAAGTCAGAGTGAGAGGTTACAACACTTTAAATGTCAAGATGGAACCTTTAATGTCTTATTTATTGATTTAATGTACTTTGAAAGATTTGATGGATACTTGATGTGTGGTTTTCTGTTCTAATTCTGTTTCTTTACCAGGTTGGCAAAGATGACCTGGAAACCAGTAAGATCCCAACAGTGGGCTCTAAAGCTCAGCTGAACCACCCACTGGTAAACCAATACAGTCTGACTCTGGGTCAGGACCTGGGCCAGCACGACACCAAGTCTCTCATCAAGTGTGTGGAAACACTGTCTTTCATCGTCCGTGATGCCGCCCACGTCACGCCTGACAACTTTGAGCTGTGTGTTCGAGCCATACGAGTGTTTGTGGAGGCCAGCCTCAACGGAGGTGAGACGATGAGATGCTTTTAAATATCAGTAGAGTTTTTCAAAGGACTACATTACCTAGATACTGAAAGCACCGATGGTGCAATGGATCACAAATGGAACGATTCAGATTGGATCAAAGATTTGTGTCACGTGGGATCATTTCCCTTTTCCATTTATCTCTCCTTGTTTTCTCATATTTGCCAGTTTCAAAAATTCTCCATTACTTTGATGTTTCTTTATCTATAAACATTTTTCTTAATAAGATTATATAATCTGTATTGTTCTGATTACCATCTAAAGACCTAGCTTTATAACTAAACATTATTTAAGAAGCTTTGATTTGAAACTTCAAACATGTTTATAGCCTTACTGTAGTGTATTATATCACTCCTGTATGAGTGTACCTGTCCATGATGAACAAATGTATTAAGGGAAAAAAAATGACATTACAGAAATTAGTCAATCTCGTTCATCTTTTTTTTTTTACATTTCCAGCTGTTTGCTCTTATTATTCCAGGGCAGAGATTTATTTCAGAATGACTTTCAGAAAAAAACAAAAAGTGTTGTGTAGCAGTTTGTAAAAACGTTTGGTTTAAAACACAATGCTTTGTCATCTTCTTTACCTTTATGTCCCACCCTGTGGCTGCCTTCAGTTTTGTTTTGTTTTTGTCCTCCTTCATGTTTTCACCTCAATCTGTCCTGCCCTACATTCTTCCCCCTCTTCCTCTTCCTCTCTATTCTCTTTATCCTTCTCCTCATCTGCCCCCCTAACCTACTCTTCTCCCTTTTCCATTCATCTCTCCTTGATGCGTTTGTGATCTACAGACGGGGATTAGGGTTGCAAATGGCAGTGGTGCACTTGTGTTTTGGCACTAATGATGGCCTATTCATTTGATCCTGTTGCTGCAGGCTATTGGATACAATCTGTCAACAGAGCTTTACAGAGACGGACAAAAGAGATGGGTCGATCAAAGTAATGGGCTGAGGATGGCGCTCATCTGTATGAGATACTAATAGTGAATGCAAAATCTTTTAATACACTGTTAGGCCTCTGTGATCTGACTTCATATGCCATTGTCAGAGGTGTTTGAAAGATAAAAAAGTATTTTGCATGATAATGGCACATAGCACTTAGCTTAGGGGCACGGGCAACGGCTGCATGCTGGTATATGGGACATAGTCAATTCTAATTGTTAGATGTAGTGTTGTAGTTCTTGGTTTTGGTTTTAAGACTGGTCTCGAGACCACTTTTTTTAAGGTCACGTCTCGAAAATAGAAAGCATTTTTACTCTGCCCTGTCTCAGTCTCGGTCTGGGAAGACTCCAGGTTTTAAGTCAAGACCACGACTCACTTTTTCCACGTCCAGTGAGTGACACACCCCTTCACACAAGTCGATGATTTTTCATTGAAATTAATGGTCTTGGTCTTGACTCGGTCTCGATCCCTAAATGTCTTGGTCTTGACTCGGCCTCGATCCCTCAATGTCTTGGTCTTGTCTCGGAGCACTTAGGTCTTAGGTTTGTCTTGGTTAGTGTGGACTTGACTACAGCACTAGTTTGATTTTTATTATAAGCCATGACTCATTATTTTTGGATTGTTTATATTTTGACCTGCTTCACAAAAAGGTTTGAGAAGTAATCCTGTAGTGAGTGAATGTTGGTAAGGTGTAAGGTGAAAGACAATGGCACAGCAGCACTATAGACTGGCCAATCAGTCACAGTGTGCAAAACGTAGTGTTTCATATGTAGCTGGGGGAGTAGAGGGTTCAGGTTCCTACAGAAAACATTTCACAATGACTATTTAAAGCTTTGTGGAAGAGAGTTCAGCAGCCAGCAATACAAAAAGGTCTATAGTTTTTCTGAGGCTATTTCAAAGTCCAATAAAAACCACAGTGCCAATAGAACTGTTACTCTTGAATCCACAGACATCCGTCGCCATCCTAATAGCCTCTCAGTAATGTCTTTTGGCAGTGCTCAGAAAATTGTGGATTTGCTAATTCTGCCAAATTTTGAGCAAGACAGTATGATCGATGAAACAATCAGTTAACATATCTGGTCAGTCAAAACCCCTCAAGTTGACAAAGATAAATTAACAGGGTCATTTTTGGATGCTTTGCTTCCTCAGGTTATCGCAACCACGACAAGAAAAAGAGCCACAAATACGACTCCTCCAAGTCCCGGATGAGGAGGAAGGCAGGGGGAAGGGAGAAAGAGGGTGCAGGCGGCACCAGACGAGGTGGCGGCCGGGTATCCAGCCAGCGTCCATCACGCTCCCATAGCGACGATGAAGAGGACGAGGGTGTCCCTGCCAGCTACCACACAGTGTCATTACAGGTTAGTCAGGATGTAAGTACAACGGCACTCTTTACCCTTCTCTCTTCTGTTGATTCGAGCACAGCCATCCTAAAAACATCTTGTTTCTCCCACATTTTTCTTTTCATTCAGTGTAGCTGAGTTTAATCCATAAAGCACTAAAATAGTTAATATAAAATCACGTACCCCTAAACAGTGATTTGAAACGAGGTGATTGTGGCATGGAGATGTTTCTAGGAAACCATGGCTTTTGCTCTCAAAGGGACACTAAGGACGGGTGTAACTTCCTAGCATGACTATGATGAAAGTGTTTCAGCAAACCTCCGCTTACATCTGTCATGTGTGTCAGATTACACCCCACCTCACTGTATCCTAATGGTCCTGTGTGGCGTTGGCTGGGGTGGGGATGAAAGGTTAAAGAATAATACCAGTGTATATTTATCTTATAGGAATAGACTGTGGGTGATATAAACAGACACCAGGTCTGAAAGTCAATGTGCCAAAGTCCCTCAAAGCTTGACCAGCTGAGGGTGACTCATCTGATTGCAAACAGAAATATAAAGAAGTCTATGAGAAATGAAATTACTCCAGTTCCCTCTTGAGAATTATGACCACCGAAAAAAATATTTAACGTGTTAATGTTCTTTACTTTTAGTTACTTCCAGTCTTCTTTAAAGGTCTCATATTATAGACATTTTTTAACGATTTTAAATTAGTCTCAGAGCTCCTCAAAACATGTCTGTGAAGTTTCTTTATATAAATTCACTCTGATTCTGCATTTCATCATGCCTATAAACCCCTCTATTTCAGCCCTGTTCAGATCAGGCTGTTTCTGTGTCTGTAGCTTTAAATGCATATCTGCTGTGTCTGACCACGCCCCCTCTCTGGAAGGGCTTGGGTTGGTATACAGTGAAAAGTCAGACTCAGTGGGCAGAACTAACACCTAGCTGTGGAAGTGTCACCCACCTGGAGGAGGGGTTACTGCCCTTTGTGATGTCATGAAGGGAAAATCTCTAATCAGCATGTTTGAGTACACATTTTCTGAAAAGACGGAGAAGATGGACTTTTCTTATAATTGGGGGGTTTGTGGACAGGCTAGGAACACATATTAGTGTAAGAAAAACATTGTGAAGTGTATTTTACATAATGTGACCTTAAAATCAGCATGATGTTCATTTTGTAAGTGCTCATTGAGTTTGATATGTTTTTAAATTGTGGCTACCTTGTGATTAATATTTACCAGAAGGACCTTCTAGGTTTCAATTATGTCACCTCACTCTCTGTTAGAAGGCACGTTAGTTAATGTCCAATATGTTTTATCATGACCTTAGTGTTGGTGTCTTTGTTACTAATAGAAAAAACAAAACAATGGTAGAGGAGAGCAACACCCTGGTATCGACCTGTATTGGAAGGCATCAGGAAAAGATAATATTACACTGGTATAATCCTTTAATCTATGCTGTGAAACCTTTGTTTTCCCTTTCTCAACAATCATACAGACAAAGCTTCACTCTTTCTTACGGCTCCATCTGGTTGAGGGAGATTCTCAGGTCTACTGCGAGTATTAAATAAACTATCTGTGTCTCCGTGTGGTGAAAATGAGACTTCAATTCATTTTTGTCTCAACATTTTAAATAAATGTTATAAAATATTATTTTTAATGGTTGGTTAAAATAGATGGAAACTTATTTTAAACACAATCAACTTTTTACCTGATACCTAATTTCACCTGATTACAGCCAGCACTCTTAAGATGTATAAAGCTACAGGGTTGTTGTCAACAGCTCATCAGCTACTGTTAATGCCCACAGGATATAAAGCACATCATCTAATTGTTTGAAAGATTTAAGGAGACAAAAATATAAGGGACTGTGTGCTTGTTGCTTGTGGTAAATGAAACATGTTACAGTTTTATTCAGACACTCCTTCCATTATAAACTTGCATTATGAACATGTGTGTTGGTGTTTGTGGCCATGCAGCTGTTAGACCTGATGCACACACTACACACCCGGGCTGCCAGCATCTACAGCTCTTGGGCAGAGGAGCAGCGCCATCTAGAGGCTGCAGGAAAGAAGATCGAGGCCGACTCCCAGACCCTGTGGACCAGCTGCTGGTGCCCGCTTCTGCAAGGTAGACTCCTTTACAATATCGAGGAGATACACAGTCTAATGCAGCCCAATACAAGTTGCTTATAATGTTTTATTTTCCTTTGTTTTAAACCCCATTCTGGCCTTATGTCTGTACAATATGCTTTCAGCTTTGTTGTTGGTTTCAGTCAGTTCACCGGGGGACAGATTAATTAGGTCAGTATAAATCTCCACAGCAGGTCATGTCTTTGATATCATTTTCCACTCCAGGCATTGCTTGGCTGTGCTGTGATGCCAGACGACAAGTTCGTATGCAGGCCCTAACCTACCTCCAGAGGGCGCTGCTGGTCCACGATCTGCAGACACTTGACGCAACCGAGTGGGAATCGTGCTTCAACAAGGTGAGAAAGACAGACAGCAAGAGATAGACACAGACCAGTGTGAAATCTGTGAATGTGGTCAGATATTCTGAACCAGATTGTTTAATCCTAAAAAAAATCTTTGTGCCCTCATATTTCATTTCTACTGTCGGGACACAAGTTACACCTGTGTTCATTTGAACACCTGTGTGTGTGTGTGTATGTGTTTTTGCAGGTGCTTTTCCCTCTGTTGACTAAGCTGCTAGACAACATCAGCCCAGCAGATGTGGGCGGTATGGAGGAGACCAGAATGAGAGCCTGCACACTCCTGTCAAAGGTTCAAAGCAGCACACACCAAAAACAGACATTAAATATGTAAAGAACATTAAGAGAACATCTCAAACCATCAGACTATTTGGATTGATAGTCTTTCCATGTTGACCCATGAAGCTTTTACATTTCCTTTGATGAATATGTTCATCCTGCAGCTTTGTGCTGGGAAATATTTTGTGTCACCTTTTTGTTATTAACTTGACATCATCATCTGACCAGGTTTTCCTCCAGCACCTCTCTCCTCTGCTGTCTCTACCCACCTTCGCTGCCCTCTGGCTTACCATTCTGGATTTCATGGACAAGTACATGCACGCAGGATCCAGTGACCTACTGGTGAGGATACTCATATAGCAGTTAACACACAGTTTTGATTTGATGCATTAGTTAAATGCTGTGAGGATCCTGACTGCTGGAGCAGGAAATGAGGACATGAGCTGATCAAAGCCTGATTATACAGAGTGGCCTGAATGGTAAATTCCTGCATTTATTTAGCTCCACATATGGTGAACAAACTTTTGCAGTAAAAATAACTAAGGTTAACTCCTTCCTTGTAACACATATTTTGTGGTCTATAAATTTGCAGCAATTACTGCCCAAAGCTTGAACTTCATGTTGTCAAAAGCCGGATCACATTTTCCTGGATTTTAAGGTCTGAACCTGGTATTGACTAACTGACCTTCTGACCTCCTCTTGTGCTTCATTTGTGTTTGTGTGTGTAGTTGGAGGCAATCCCAGAGTCTCTGAAGAACATGCTGCTGGTGATGGACACTGCAGGGATCTTCCACAGCGCCGACTCCAGGACGGGATATTCAGACCTCTGGGAAATAACGTGGGAACGAATCGTCTGCTTCCTGCCTCACCTGAGGGAGGAGCTCTTCAAACAGACAGTCATACCAGGTAGATGATTAACGTGTAGGGGTGAAGGAATATTGATACTTCATTGTCTGCTTTGCTGACATTGTTCATTCTTAAGCTGCTCAGAGGAGGTGAATAGATGGATGTGGCTCCAGTTTCATGTTATTTTGCTATTATGTTTCTAGAACCCAGTCCTCCAGCTGAGCCCGTACAGCCTACAACCCCAGCAGGCCGGCCTCCATCCCCTCAGGTGTCACAACCACCTGCACAGCCACCCTCTCCAGTCCCAGTAGCCCCTGCAGAGACAAAGACCCCCAGCAGGCCAGCGTCCCCACAGGAGCCCCAATCAGCCAGTGCCAACGGTAAAACTCTAAGAAATTTTACATTATGTTGAAAAAGTTGATTTTGTTAGTCTGACTAAAACTAACTCTGATTTCATGAATTCAAACTTAACTCACCCAGATCATGCGGTTGGGAGTCGATTTGCTCTTGCATGTTTACACCTCAATGGGCCCCAAACTAGCCTAAGCATCTGTGCATGCTCCAAAGTCTCAGTGTTGGGCTTTGACCCGAAAGTCGAACAGCATAACTGTGTAGAAGAAAACTGGGAAGAAAAATAGACACAGTCATCATGTAAAATGCTAGAGCAAAAACCACAAATCTTTGGATGGACGAGGAGTCACTATTTGTTGTGTTTCAGCTGACAGAGTTAAACATATTGAAGTACATGGATAGAAGGAAAACAAGGAACGGGTATTGGATATCTGATGTAATAGGTCACCTGGAAGAAGGTCCAGTAGTAACTAGCCGAAAGGGAGCATATTGCCCATTACCATAGAGGAGTCAGACATACTTCTGTCAGTCAATCAATTCTCCCCCAAAGTTTGGGACAGTTGTCCATGGAGTTTTCGACTTCACAAATATGATCTTTGTCTGAGTGGAAATGCTTTTCACCAACAAATGTGAAATAATTTAAAGGGAAGTGAGCATTTCTGCTCTCCAAGGACAGGGGCAAATTCTGTTCACACTAGTCTGAGAGGAATGAATAAATAAGTATTCTGTATTTAGTAATATACTTTTACTAAGTATAAAACACTCTGGTGTATATTTAATAGATCATTATTTATTCATGGTATGATTGTAAAATGACAGAATATTGTGCTGAACATTTGAATGTGGAATGTGTCCTCTTATTTTATATCCACAGCATCATAGTTTATTGTGTATATGTTCTGAATGGTATCTTCTGTATGTGGTGTTTCATGAAAGAATTGGATTAAATCTTCAGTGTTGTTTTTCATCTCTGTTTTCCAGCATCAGACCGATCGTCTCCAGTCCCTCCCTCAGTGTCCCCCATGCCGGTGCCGTTAACAACGTCCCCTGCCCAAGTTTCTTCGCCCCTGAGCCAATCCCCCCTCATCCTGCAGCCACTCGCCTCTCCACTGCAGGTGGGAGTCCCGCCCATGTCCCTGCCAATCATTCTGAACCCCGCCCTCATTGAGGCCACGTCCCCTGTACCGCTTCTGTCAGGTCCCCGACCTACAAGTCCGTCTGACGAGGTCAAGTAAGAGAAATACCCCCAACCACCTCCACCACTCTGTTTTCTTTGCAGACCTCCACCCCTCTGAACAACTGGACCCATCAGACTTCAGCTTCACAAGCTGCTCGTGAAAACTGTGATTAATGAACGAGAAGATTATTAAGATGTGACACCTCAGTTATACCACATTTGAAGAAAAAAATCCCACTTCACATTTGAGATTTATAAAAAAGAAAAACAGGCAATCAGTGGTGCACCTTTTGGTTAACTTTATTTAATTTTACTGCAGACAGTGTGACACAATGTCCAGATATTAAGAAAATGCATAACAAAAACCCCACCAGGAAATGTTCAACGTTATTACTGTAAGTAAAAAGTTCTATCTGCAGCCGGGGTTGTAACTCTTATGGGAGAAACGTAGTGTTGTGGCAGTCAGCAAAGAAATGATTTTGTGAATGTTTTACTTTCCAGTTTCTGTGTTTTTAGACTCATTACATTATATATAAATATATATATTTTAGACAACAACAAAAAAAGAAAATAACTTCAGATCAGTGAGCAGGGCTTTAGAGGATAAGACCAGTGTCAATTTGTTATTGTATTAAAATCTCATACTTAAGACTTCTGAACGTACCTTATAGAGAAGAGTGGGGTTGACCTGGATTTAGCACGGTCACTCCCGTGTTTCCTCATTCAGTCGTGAAGGATACACTTACCACCTGAATGGCAGCACAACCCCCCATCATCACCATCCTTTAGATTTCAACTTGATAAGCCCAGGCTGACCTCCTGAACTACTTCTCACACCGGCGTTTTCATTTATGTGGAGATAACAGGCAGGGGCACAAAAGTTGGTTATCTGGATATAAGATACTGCATGTTATTGATTCAAAAGTCCGATGCCCCAGATGTTCTAAAACAGACCTGATAGAATCAACCATGACTAAGGAAACAGTGTGAGTCAAACTGTAAGAAAAACGTTAAACCCCCTCACCCACAGATATATAAAGCTTTGATTTTCAGACACCTTGTGGTTCCCTCTTCCACTAAAAGGCAAAAGGGGATTGTGTGCACATGAAGCCTGTTTCAAACACCCCACGGATACATCACGTCTACAACATTCCTACATGTAGATAATTGAGCGAGCCCGGCCCCCCTGTACAGAGAAGAGTTAGAGATCCAAATAGGGACGTTTATTCTTTATTATAACAAATATGTGATGTCATTTTATGTTTGTGCTGATCAGTGCGTACATCAGTCCACGCGTGATTAATCCCCAGAGCCTGAGGCGCTCTCTATGTAACTGATAACTTCTAGCTCATCATATCACAAGGAAACCTACGGAAGCTGCAGTGGGATTAAGAGAACACCTGACTGTTGATGTTGAATAATTAATAATTATGTCATGTTTGAATTGATCAATGAATTTATAACATAATGCTTTTTTTTTTTTTTTTACTTTGAAACCATCCCTCTCTCCTCCTGTAGCATGAATACTTCAGCGTTTCATTTTAGACGGTGTGTTATTTCAGAACTTGTTTTAAATGCATCAATTTATCCCGCCGGACGTACAGAGAACAGCACGCGCAAATCTCAGCAGAACAAATAAACTTGAATATTTGGGTCTCAATGGATACTCATGTACTGATGTACCAGATGTGCATAAAGTCTGTAGGCAATGGAAAAGTGTTGGCATCAAAAGTGTTCTAGTTTTGTTTTTAGGCAAAATAACCAATCACGTTCGTAGCATTCAGAGAAAACCTTCTGTGTGGAGAGCAACTGGGCAAAATGTTCAAACCAAAATACGATTCAAAGATAAAATGTGATGCATTATATTGATTAAACCACCGAGCTCTGAGGTGACAATAGCTCCATCTGAACCTTTTGAAAACATCACCTATCATCTGGCAGCAGTTTCACCTTTCTTGTTGATAGGAAGTAGCCTAAATGTTGTCTTGAACGCTATAAAAACTAGCGTTGGCCTCAAGTCAGGCTGTGAACCATGGCAGCACACACAAATAAAAGTCTTGCCTTCTTGTGTTTATAATCTGGAAACCCATCGCCTACACCACAAGCCTGGAAGTGTTTGAATGAACATCACTAAATTTGAAGGCGCATACATGAGAAAGAAGCTCAAATATTATAAAAGTTGATTTGGCACGACTTTAAAGACACATATATATTCAGATGGTTTTAAGAAATACGTCTTTGCTATGAATTCAGAGGTGTTTAGAATACTTACTTACAGTTACACTTCACAGTCAGGTATTACGCTACTAGAGTTTGTTTCCATAGAAACCTGCTGACATTCTTGCATGCTGACTGTGCCTTGTGTACAACGACATGAACCTGACAAACTGATGAAGACTAATTCACCGTTTTAATGCCAAATATGTGACCTGGAGTGACCCGTACATGTGCACAGATGGCAAAGCATCCATTCAAAGTGGCCCTGAGATCGTCTCAGTGATGTTTAATGTTATTTATTGAGTTTCAGAAAGCAGAGATGGATGATTCTGCCGCAGTCTAATATACATACTGTAGATACAGTGTGTGTGTGTGTGTGTGCGTGTGTGTGTGTCAGTCAGGTAACACTACAGCCTTATAGAGCCACCAACATGAGACAGTCAGTGAGCTGTGTGTTTTTTGTTGTATGGGACTCTTTCATATATATATCAGGAGTTGATTCTTGCTCGAACAGGAAATGACATGAATATAATGTGTATATATAAATGCAAGGTAAAATACTTTTTACTATGTAATAAATATAATGTAAAGAATGGCTTGTTCTGCTTTTTGTTGTGTTATTTGACCTTGAAAAGGCTTTTTTAACTCAGGGAGTCCTCTGGCAAAAAATGTTTTAGTAAAGATTCTCCTCTTAGAATATTTTTTAAAAGGTGAGTATTTTTGTGTTTCATGAATGCGCTTCCTCAAAAAGTGGAAAAGAGACAATTTCTCAGTTGGATGTCTGTCAAGTTGCAGTTTTCCTCAGCACTCATTGTTTTTCATCCACAGGATCACACTGAAACTTTGGCTGAAAGATGGACGTGTTTAAATGTTTAAAATATTCACACAATCCGTAGAGGGCGGGCTTTATACAAGAGAACACCTCTCATTGGCTAAATCCTAATCTCCACACTCGAGGCACACAGACTTTCAGACGCGGTCCAGGAAAGTGTGTCCTGTTTAGTGATGTCCAACTGGGTGCACGAGGACTCTGATGATGCATTTCGACACTTTTCTTTGAGACATACCCAGAGTTCTTTGCAAACTTGGTTACATTGGGGACATGTTTGTTTAGCCATCGTTTTGATAGTTTTCTAATATTAACACTGTAATGTATTAATACAAATACACAATAGATAAACCTTTTTTTCTTATTGGTGGAGTGTGCATTTCAGTTCCAGTCCCTGTATGATGTCATGATAGTGTGTCCAAGCCCTCACACACTCACTCACTCACTGCACACCTGATGTCTAAAAGCCTGTGATGGTTCAGTGATTCGTCTTCAGGTTAGAGTGACATTAGGCCCGTCTCCGCCTCTCCTTCTGGACTTTTTTCTCTTGCATCAAAAAAAGAAACAAGTATACCAAAGGTAATGAAAGCCCCTCCAGGTGATACTGACTGATACTAGTTAATTTACAAGAATTGGAGTGATGCAAGGTCCCAAGGAACTTGACCTTGGACCTGTATTTCCCATTATTTAGTCAGTTCATCAAGTGACAGTTTATGCCATGTTAGAATCTTTTCCCTCCAGGCGATTCTGTCATTGTGTGTAAACAAGAATAAGACAGGAATGATGGCAGAAAATATTTTTTCTAGGACATAATGAATTTGACCTGATGGTTTATATATAAAATTGTCATCACATTCATCAATACATATGAGGAACAAACTAAAATACAGACAGTTGAATATTGATCTGTCGGCCCTGCACTACATCTGCATGTTAGTGCTGTTGTGTTTGTCCTTTAACCCATCCAGTGACGGCACATTAATTCAGTTTTAGCAATAGCTGGCGAGGATCATTTTTAATAATCACGTTACAAGATCAAACACACTGGAGTCTGAAAATAACTTTGACAATTCATTATTTTGAAAAGCTGTTCAAGAGATTCACTAAGTTTATACAGCAGAGTTAAACTGAGCGCTCTCAAAGCTGTTTCATAACTGCCGTCATGTTGTGCAAATAGTCCCCTCGGTATATATGGATACCTGCATTTAATAGCAGTTCATCAAATTTGTTTCGCTAATTATTCTCATCAACTTCTTGTTTTTACAGTGCTGTAGCATTTGAGATTGAATTAAATTGAATGTTACATTTTTTAACTTCTCAAAATAAGAAAAGAATAAGTGTTGGTGTAAAACATCTGAGTTTTTATTTCAAAGCAGAATGAGAACCACAGATCTTTAGTAAACTAACTGTATCAGAAACTACAGAGGCAGGAAAAAGAAAACTGTTAGAATTGTACATGGAATGTAAAAACATCAATGAAACGAGGACCCATAAACTGTTCAGATTTAAATTATCTAATCTAAAAAGAATTATAACATTTTGAAGGAACAATGAAACATAAATGTGAAGAGCACTCCACTCACAAATATTTTTTTTCCTCTTAAACCAAAGACAGATTCCACATGAAAAACCCCTACTGTCAAACCACCTATCTATACCAGCGGCGACAAACAACAGTTAGAAAAACAAACTCCTTCAGCAGGGATCCTCACTTGGTGTCCAGCTTGGCCATTTCCTGAAGATAAATCCCAATGCTCTCACTGTCAAACAACACAAAGTAAATGTTCTTCAGAGAGGAGCTGGTGGACGACACAAAATGGTTGGAGATGGCCTTGAGGATGAGCTGGGCGGCTGTTTGCTTTGGGAAACCGTTCCTGTGAGAGTCGGCGGGATAAAAGTGAGAAGTGAGAAGTGAGCAGTACATTCTAGTGAAGAATTCCCATCATGACCTGCAGCTAAAAGCAACATAGATCCAGGGTGCGATTTACCGGGGTGGGTGGGGGGTATTTCCCCCCCTCTGGTCTATATATCCCTGCCTCTGTTGAATTATTTTTTTATCTCCGGTGGGGACAGAATGTGTCCCCCCCCCCCCCCCAACACAAATCATTCCAACAACATCTCTCGTGAAGTAAACTCCACGCAGCCACCGTCACTCCGTCTCGTTCCACAGAGAACTACTCTCTGAGATTCTGCTCAGAGACGGAGAAATGTGGGCGGGTCTAATTTTTAAATTGGCTAATTTAGTCAACATGACATTAAGATTGACAGGTGGTTTGACCGATCACAAATGTCTATAACATTTAATACACAAAAACAGTATTTATCAAGCACTTTTCTTATATTGAAGCTGACGTCTTACAGAGAGCGCTACTTGATGAATTAAATGTAAAAAAATTGATTCAAATATTCCGTGCAGTGGTTAAATTCAAGTTCTGAAATTGTTTTAATTAAGTAATATATATAATTCTATATATATATATATAAATATATTCTATATATATAAATTCTATATATAGAATAATTACTTAATTCAAACAATTGAAGAACAAAAATAATTATTCTATAAGAAATTATTCTGAAAGAAATAGCCTAAAAGGCTTCAAAGTCTATAGGCCCACTTTATTTTACAAATCGCACCTTGCATAGATCTAAACCATAAGGTGATACCGCAAGTGTCACTATCGTCCTACACTAACCGTTACAGCTAAGGCCTGGCAGACACTAAAAGAAAATTTGAGATCCCACACATGACGACGAATCATCCCACATTAACAGTTCAGTTCTTAAAGTGTGTGGCGTGCTCAGCACACTAACCGATTCATTCACCAACCACCAGAGTCTCGACTATCAAAACGTGTAATCTCTCGCAGTCCAACTCCTCTCACTGTCAGTTGGATTGTGGTTTGCTTTACAGGACACGATGTATAAACTGACATAAGGTTGCTCCTGTATTTATGACATCAATCTATCTTTATGCTTCGCCTTTGCTGTCGTCGCCATGGTAATATTTGTCGTGCTTGCTGCATCAGTCAGCTTGCTTCCTTGGTCGGCAATTGTTCTGTCCCACGTGACAATTCAGAGTCCGTGCTCGGGCCGTCCTCGGTTTTCTCACCACACAACAGGATTTCTGATCTCAAATCAGGGCGGCCCTGATCGTCTTCCAAGCAGATCAGGGAGGTTAAAATCACACCTCAAACACACCTCACACCACAGGAGAATCAGGCAAGATAATGGGGACTATAGTGGGAAGGGTGGAAATCACAGACCAATCTCTTCAGGATAAATGTGCCTGAATAAAATCTACCAGAATGCAAGTGTTCACTACTGACAGGCTAAGACTGTGACTCCAAGTGTCTGACAACGTTAAAGAAAGGATCCCTCCTGAGATCGAACTCACTGTGAAGGTAAAGGGGTTGTTGTGTCTTGTGCTGCTTCAATCAGTTAGTTTGATGTTTTCTTGTATGACTTTGGTGTTTTAATGTTGGCTTGGTTCACACACATTAACACAAAGTGACACTAATACTACCTTAACAAAGGGATAGTTTTGTAGTGATGCTTTCCATAATGTTATTAGGTCATTTCTATGAGACCTTGTGGTAAAAAACAACACTTAGGTTTCTTAGGTTAGTCTTTAATAAGGTGTATTCACTCTAAGAGATTGCACTGAGGCCACAGCAGCTTGAATCTAGACTACAAGCTGAAGCAATCAAAAAAAAAAACTATTGTATGTATGTGTCATTTAGACACCAAAATATGTAAAAAAATACAGACTATGTTTAACAATTCCAACCGTATAAAGCTCTTAAACGACAATCAAAATATGAAGTTGGTGCCTTATTCTACCATTCTGGGCTCAATAATCAATCTTTGTTTCCCAGCAGAGTAATCTATCGATTACGACCAGCCGACACTGTCATCCTCATTCATGCACGGCCTGCTCCGACCTCCACCTCAGCTGCAAGGAAGTGTGGACAACAGGAACGCGAGGAATACAAAGACTCTGGTCTTTCACCTGCTCTTTTTTAAAGCGTCTCGAGTTGTGAACACTTGTTGTGAATTGGCACTATACAAATAAGGATTGACTGATTGAGTATAATGCTCAGGTGTTAGAAAAGGAACTGGCACTCCTGTTATTGACAAAGAGTCAAGAGTCTCCGTCAAGCAGCCATTTCTTTAAACTTCATGTCAGAAGAACCGTATGTCATCCCTAGTGAGTCCCTGCACGTCAAACCTAAATGGACAGTAAGCAGTACCGGCTGACACCAAAACACCTTCGCTTCTGTGTTGTGAGTGAAGAGGGGGAGCTCACCGTCCAGCAGGAAGTGAAGGGAAAGCCACGGACTTGAGCTTCTTCTCCTCTGCTGCAGAGAGGCAGTTCTCCACCGTCTTCTCCAGCTGGTCCTCGCACTTCTCTGAACCCCACTGAGGGACGTTACAGTGGATGACGAAGCGAGCTGCCATCCCACTGGCCTGACTTACGGCCACTGCAGGGAGCAAAGACAGAAAGTATGGCAAACTTTACACACACAGCTCAGGTCTCTGGATGTGTCGAGGTATGTTGTGTTGTTTGGAAAACACTTTAAAATGTCAGATATATAATCTGGGTAGTAGTGCAACAGATCACACATCTGTCACATGACATTCTGTACCTGATGCCACCTCCAAAGGTCCTTGTGCTTTTCGTAGCTCCTTGACTGTATCCTGGAACTCTCGGCCTCCTACTTTCTCCAAGGCGTTGCCTAAAAGAGAGCAGAGCAGAAGGTGAG